ATCAAGGTTTTCTTACTGCTTTCCTAGGATTTTAATGGCCTTAAGTACTTAAAAAGTTTGTGTTGCTTTGAACTGTTCGTTAAGTCACTTCCCTAAGTGTTTTTTTCTATAACAAGCTAGAAAAGAAAACAAAATGGTGGAAAACACTGACTCCTCAAGTTTATTATATGAGCCTAACATTGAAAGTAGTTCATCTGATCATGTTTTCCTTGATCCAGGGTAACTAATAGAGTACCTGAAATGTAATGTATTGGAGTGAAGTGGACATTTTTCAAATTTAATGATTGTTTACAGCCTTTGTCTCTTCTGTTGAGGAACGGTGTTTTTTTCTTCATATTATTTGTTAAACTCTATTACTATTATTATTAGTATAGGGTTAATTATATAATCATTAAGTAAACTGAAAATAGACGTTTGTAAGAATTAATAGTGGGATGGCTGGCGCTGCGGCTCACTAGGCTAATCCTCCACCTGCAGAGCCAGCACCCCGGATTCTAGTCCCGGTTGGGGCGCCGGATTCTGTCCCGGTTGCTCCTCTTCCAGTCCAGCTCTCTGCTGTGGCCCGGGAGTGCAGAGGAGGATGGCCCAAGTGTTTGGGTCCTGTACCCACATGTGAGACCAGGAGGAAGCACCTGGCTCCTGGCTTCAGATCGGCGCATTGTGCTGGCCGTAGCAGCCATTTGTGCGGTGAACCAACAGAAGGAAGACCTTTCTCTCTGTCTCTCCCTAACTCTGCCTGTCTGAAATTAGAAAAAAAGAAAGAAGAGGATGAGGAGGATTTATTAGTGGGACTGTGAGAGGGAGGAGGAAAGGTTGGAGCATGGGTAAAGTATCACTGTGTTCCTAAATCTGTATATATGAAATACATGAAATTTGCATAACTTAAATAACATTTTTTTAAAAATTGGTTCATCTGATGGAAAATGATTTCTTTCCAGCCAGGGTTCAGAAATGGCCTCTCAAGGACGGGAGCTGGCCAGTCATTTCCAGAGTGAAGGAACTCCAGTAATGATTGGTAAGGTGTTTCGGACATGTTGGGCTCTTACTGTGGAGAAGAGCGCAAAACGAATCATTGATATCAATATTTAGTATAAGTCACTTTAAAATTAACTTTTACACCTCTCTAAGTAGTAAATAAAATACCAAGGTGGCAGAAAAGTTATTAAAAAGATTATAAGAAGAAGAAATAAAGGTGAAGAAGAGAAATGATAATCGTATTCAGTCATTTAAAGAGCTGAGAACAGTATTTAAAAAGAAGCTCGTTCCCTGAGCATCGTGATGGCTCTGTCACTGACTTGGCAGGCTGTGTGACAGTGGGCACCTTACTTTTGCTCTCTGGGCTTTATTTGTAAAATAAGAAGACAGGATTAGCTGATCTGAAGCTGCATGATTGTGTGAAGACAAGATTTGTCTTGTGAGGTCAGAAGCTAAGCTGAGGCTGGTGTCCTCCAGGTAATCAGAACGAGCTCCAGGAGCGGCAGGTCCGTATTCCTGGAGCTTCCCGGAGCAGAGCCGCAGGGTCGTCTGCTGGAGGTACCGCAGCACGCAGCACGCAGCGCGGCACCGCTCTGTAGGGGGGAACGCGGGCCCTCTCTTGCCCTTCCTGAATTTCTCTTAGTTCTATGGATGTGGTAGTGGAGTATAAACTTGGTATGATTATATAGGTATCATGATATTTTTTATGGGCTACAGTTAGAATTTTGTCTTAGTGTATTTGACATTGTGGTTTTTCATGTTGTAAGTAGCCAATTTTAATGCTGTCTGGGATCAATGGGCAAAATAATCTTGTAAAATTTAAATTGAATAAGCAACTGAGATTCCTTTATGCCTTCTTTGTGTTTATTTTCTTCTGCAGGGGGAGGAGTTCTGGCCCACACAATACTAGGAGTTGCATGGAATGAGGTCACAGGGCAGATAAAATTTCTGATTCTAGATCCACATTATACAGGTGCTGAAGATTTGCAAGTTATTTTGGAAAAGGTAAGTATCTGTTTAAAATTTAGACTCAAGGCAAAGAACCTAGAATGAAGGCCAGCAAACTGGCTGTTACCAGTGCCAAGAGCCCTTCCTGTCGGAAAGGTCTCTGAGAGGCTGACGTTAGCTGAAAACAGCGGAGAAGCCAGTCGAAACACATTCTCTGAGCAGGAGACCCAGATTTAGTTCCGGGCTCCTGGCTTTGGCCTTGCCCAGCCCCACCCATTGTGGGCATTTGGGAAACAAGGCAGAGGATGGGAGATGTCTGTTTCTCTTTCAAATAAAATGTCCTTTTAAATTCTCAAGGAAAAAGAAATGGTGTGTAAGGTGGGTTTTTAGGGCTGCTGCAGAGGCGGCGGAAGAGGGGGAGCAGGGCTTATTTGCAGAACTGTCTATAGGTAGCTGAATGTGCTGGCAGCACCGAGAAGAGGTGCGGCTGCAGGGGCAGACAGGAGCTAACGCAAGAAAGGTAGTCCTGGTGAGCCAGGCATGCAGAGGAGCAAGACCCGGAGATCTTATCTGAGACACAAGGAGCCCCTGAGTTGTTTTCATTGCAGGAGTGATACAGGTAATAATCTTAATTCCTTCTGGCTGGCTTCAGGAAGAAGGGATTGTCTAGGTAAGGGTTTCTCAAGGCATCTTCCCTGATAATTTCTCCGGGAATTGGGAATTGTAGTCTCTGTCTTCGCTACTTCTGGTTCTGCAGAACTTTGCAATGGTAGCACCCCTCCTTACTCTGTCAGGGCACCGAAACACTAAGAAGCCAGGGCCGAGCCATCAGTGGAGCCACTGACTCTCACTTGACCCTAGGAGTGTGGGAGGCCACGGGAGAGTTCTGCTTCTGCCTGCCCCCTCTTTCCTGCAGTTTTCCTTGCAGAAGCTGTCAACCAAGCATTGCAAAGGGAAGAGGCATGCTGCCCCTGATACTCTGATTTGGGCACCCTGTCTGGCCATTTATTTTTTTTTTAATTTCAATCCTGTTTCTCAGAGAAGGCATACCTGTGTGAATGACTAAATGGTTGCCAGGATATCTGGCCAACCACTACTGCCTCTCATTCAGTGGCATTTTAAGGGTCCCTTGCTGGCCTCCTCCCAATGCATTTTTTTTTTTTTAATATTTATTTGAAATTCAGAGTTACAGAGAGAAGGAGACAGGTGTCTTCCATCTGCTGGTTCACTCCCCAACCAGCCGCAAGGGCCGGAGCTGCGCCGATCCGAAGCCAGGAACCAGGAGCCTCTTCCTGGTCTCCCACGCAGGTGCAGGGGCCCAAGGACTTGGGCCATCTTCCACTGCTTTCCCAGGCCACAGTAGAGAGCTGGATCGGAAGTGGAGCAGCCAGGACACAAACCGGTGCCCATATGGGATGCCGGCACTGCAGGTGGTGGCTTTACCCGCTATGCCACAGCGCCAGTCCCCCAGTACATTTCATTTGAGGATGATACAACACACACTAGTCATCAGCCTTTTCTTCAGATTTTTTTAAAGATTTATTTATTTATTTGGAAAGCAGGGAGGGAAAGAGAGAGAGAGAGAGAGAGAACGAGATCTTCCATCCGCTGGTTCACTCCCAAAATGGCCACAGCAGCGGGAGCTTGGACGGTCCAAAGCCAGGAGCTTCTTCTGGGCTTCCCCCGTGGGTGCAGGGGCCCAAGGACTTGGGCCATCTTCTGCTGCTTTCCCAGGCCATAACAGAGAGCTGGATGGGAAGTGAAGCAGTTGGGACTGGAACTGGTGCCCATATGGGATGCCAGCATCTCAGGTGACAGCTTTATACCTACTACACCTTAATGCTGGCCCTTTCAGATTTTCGTAAGAAAATTAAGCAGTGGCCCTAGAAAAATCTCACAAACTTTCATATTCCTAATGAGATTTTGTTTGAAAGAAAAAAGACAAAGAAAAATTTTGTCTGCTGGGAAAAAGGATTGCTTCTGACCTAAGGCGTGCAAAGTGAAATGGGTGTTAGCCGGAAGGAAAAGAAGACGTAGCATGTGACCTGGGGCAGGCTCTGACTTGTGAGTGCCATGCTTCATCAGCTGTACCTAAGAGAGCCCGTTAGACTGTCTCCTGGTAAAACCAAACCTCTTACTGTCAGTAACCTGTGGAATCTGCAGGAGCTGTTACTGTAAGGAAGGTTTTATTTCTGTTGTTAAATATGATAGAATTTAAGGTTTAGAAATCTGCCTTGAATTGATCCAATTATGTTTGTATATTCAGTAGGAATGAAAATCTTTGAATTACACAACTATTCAGAGACTTATTCCAACTCTTGCTCATACAGCCTCAACTTAGGATTTCCATCACGTGGTCTTTAACTTTGTAAAAGTTTTCCTTTCCCTTCTCCCAATTCCAGGGCTGGTGTGGATGGAAGGGCCCAGACTTTTGGAACAAGGATGCTTACTATAATTTATGTCTTCCTCAGCGACCAAAGATTATTTAAAATACCCAGGGACTCAAAGCCTGAGTGAAGTGGTATTATAAATTTGTTAATAAAGAATAAGCTTAATTTCAAATTAAATTAGATTCTGGGTATAGTTTGATGGTTTAAACTAAGGTTTTTTCAAAGGCTATAAATACTACAGAGAATTTATTTATTCCTTTAATAACTTAAAAGACAAAGCATACACAACAAAATATTATGGACATGTAAATACATGTATTCCTAAATGCTATCTTCACTTGGAAGAGAAAGTTTTCCTTCTCCTTAAATGGAGTTGAGATGTGTATGGTAAACCAGAAGCCACAGCTTGTAGACCGGCACGAATGAAGGCCATCCTCAAACTTCATAGCCACCATGACATCTGTTTTTAAAAAACATGTTGACATTAAAGGCTTTTTAAAGGAAAAAGAAAAAAGGTTGTCTCCCCAAACTTCCACCCTGCTGACAATATTTGGTCTCTAGAATCTAATTGTAGTAGTCACTGTGACTAGTATTAAGCGTCAGTAACAGTGTCAGAATTTAAATGGCACAATAAATTCTATGTTAAATGCAGGAGTCAGGAGAAAGAAAGCTGCAGTTAGCAGTTACTTACCAACACTTCCTTTTCCCGTTTGTACATTCCACGTTTCCAAACCTTCGTTTTTGTCTGAGCACTGGAACACAATGATCCTTGTTGGGTTGTTCATTTGATTTTATTGTCTGCATAGATTTAATTGTTGTAAGAAATTTGGCACATTCCAGAAATCCACATGACCAAGCAAGATCTTCAGCTGTTTGCCCATTTTTGTTACATAAACTGGAATTACAACAAAAATTGAATTAAATGAAAATTCACCATTGTTTAGTTTTTTTGGATATCTTTAACAAAGGAATTTGAGACGCATACAAATGCTGGTTGACAAACAGGAGAGGTAAATTTCTTTTTTCTCATGGTTGGATGCTCAGTGGCTAGCAGAGTCCAGAACAGAGTAGGAATTCCATTTTTGAGTGAACACAAGAGTATTTGGTGTTCAGTACAGTGAATGAGTACTCAGAAGTAGTCAGTGAGAAGTTCTATAGAAGGGTTTTCCAAAACTAAAACAAGAACAGAACTGGCCTCCGCCACTCAGGATCCATTTTTTTTTCTTTTACTCAAATTGATTATTTACTAGATGTCCCTTAAGAGCACATGTTAGCATGTGATAGGTACCAGTTAGACAAGCATTATTTTATAAAGCCCATGTAATAAAATTAGAGAAGTCTGATGACTTTAATCCAAGAAAAATTCGAGTGGGAAGCTGTTGATTTTATACTCACTCAATTTGGGCATCATTGGCTACAAGCAGGCTAAGGCATTCCAGGCTTCCAACCCTGGCAGCCTTGTGTAGCGGAGCTTCTCCCAAAACATCCTGAAAGACAACACACACACTGTCCAGAAGTTCCTCTGTGAGTCCTAACAAGCTAACTGAGGGGGATAGTTAGGACTGCGGTGTACTGGGCTGATTTTAAGATTTGTGTATTTGAAAGGCAGAGTGACAGAAAGGGAGAGATGGGAGATGGAAAGAGAGACCTCCCATCTGTTGGTTCACTCCCCAGATGGCTCCCAGGGAACTCTATCGGGTCTCCCACAAGGGTGGCAGGAACCCAAGTACTTGGGCCACCCTCTGTTGCTTTCCCAGATGCATCAGCAGGGAGACAGATCTGAAACAGAGCAGCCAGGACTCAAAGCCCCCGTACTCGGATATGGGATGCCCATGGTACAAGCTGCTGCTTGACCCACTGTGCCACAACACAGGTCCTTGGACTTCTATTCTTGATAAAGTTCCCTTAGTGTGCTCTTTAATACAAGTTTTCATTAGTGAAAACCTGTGCAATGTGCAGCCGCAGTCACATACCTTAACCTTTAAGTGACTACAAGCAACACAGAGCTCCTCAGAAGTCAGAAAGTTAATTTAAAATTCACCAGACAATAATATGCAATGGAATACGCAAGCTGCTGTAGGAAAGTTCAGTAGGAAACGTGTGCCGCTGGACAGCCTCACAAGTGTTTCAGTTGTCATACTGAGACTATGGCAATGTGGTCATTTTGAAGTGAACTAGTCTTCTGCTGTCCAGGATGACAGCCAGTAGCCCTTTTTGACTAATGTGCATACAGGAGGTGGTACCCTGAATTGGGATACACTGTAAGAATAAAAGGAACCCAGACTGAGGCAGCCTATGAGAAGAAAATGTAAATTAGCTCATCAGTCAGTGCCTAACAGTGACTACATACTGAAATATTTCGTTGCAGAAGTTACTAAAATCAATTTCATGTTTTGTTTACCTTTGTTAGCGTGGCTACTAAGCTTTTATTACATACATGTTTTCATTCTATTTCTGTTGGGATAACCCTGCCACAGACATGCTTGCCGCCACTGAACCCACTGAGTATGCCGGCGTATGAGACACGTTTGTGGGTCTGGGCGGAGGAGAGGGTTGCTCACAGCAACAATCAGTTACCTAGTTACCTGTTGGTTGAGGTCAGCGCCGGTTTGCAGCTGCCAGAGAAGAAAGTGAGCAAGGCCGCCACCTGCGGCTAAGTGGACAGGTGACTGCTCACAAGGATCTGGGGGTGCGTTGACCGAAGCCCCCGTCTCCAGCAAATGCTTCAGACTGTCCACCTGCGGGGAGAAAACAGATCCCGCACCCTTTCTCCAGTCCTGCGCTGTCTCTGGGTTGAAAAGCTTCCTGCTCCCCAAACCTTCCAACCCTGACGAAGCTGACTCCGCCGCGCCCGGCGGTCTGTCCGCTGTCACTCTCGCTAGCGATCCGGGAAGCCTGCAGGACAAAAGGGGCCCGAGTCTCACCTCCGGGTTACAGTCAAGCAACAGCATTTCTCGCCTATCGCAGGTGAGAGGAGTCCCTGGAAGCGCAGAGAGCTGGGACGCCCACTGCAGACTGGCAGGTAAGCATGCACAGGCTCGCCCCAGTGCAGGAAAATTTAAAGACCGCCGGGGCTAGCGGGCCGGCCCCAAGCCGCCGCACCCCAGATTTGGCCGCGCCCCAGCAGTTGAATCCTTAGCTGCCGGGACTTCCCCCTGGCAAGCAGCCGCCGCACGTACACAAACACTGCCACGTGCAACCCGGAACCCGGGGAGACCGAAGGGGAGAGGGGAGGAGCAAGCGCGGACCCGCCGGCCGATTCGCCAGCCGCCGAGGGGAAGGCCCACCCACCTCGGGGCGGGGCCATCGTCCGGCCCCCGGGAGCCGCAGCACGCGTGCGCGGTGAAGGGCGGCAACGGGGAGGGCGGGAGTCGGAGCGGTGGGGCTCCGGCGGCCGCCATGAGACGCGCTCGGTTTGGCACGTCTCACATAGCGTGCCCAGCCCTTTAATCCCTCTGGGGAAGCTGGAGTCGCGGGCGAAGCTTTGGTTTTCTGTTTCCATGCACGTAACCAGGAAACCGAGGCGCTATAAGTACTCTGCGCGGACACTTCCTTTGGAAATCTGTGCGCGTGGAGCTGGCCCGCGTCCAGTCCCCAGCCGCGAGAAGGGACAGGTCCTTTCGCCTCGCGCTCAGAGTCGGCCCTCTCCCGGGGTCCGCGAGCCCCGGGGCGTTGGAGGGCTGTGACCCGGAACCCCAGCCCACCCCGACATTGAACGGACCGTGGGGCCAGGCCCGTGTTGGGAGTTCGTGAAGCCAGCCAGCCGTTGTAGCGGGTCGCCTGGGGGAAAGTCCACGTTCGGAGCTTGCCGAGAGGCAAGAGGAGGGCCCCTGTGACTGCCGCGGAGTCCACGGAGGATGGAGCCGCAGCCGGGGCCGTTAGGACCTCGGGGTCTTCCCGCTGGGAGGAGCCGTGACCCCGCGCCGCCGGGCCGGCAGGGCTGGGGAGTGGCTCTCGGGCGGCGGGCACTGTCAGGGTTTGTTTCCCAGACCGGAGGCAGCGGAGCCCTCCTGACGCCTTGAGTTTGGATTCCAAGCCCAGAACTTTTTGAGAGAATAAATTTCTGTTCCTTTAAGCGGCGAAGTTTTTGATAATTCGTTATAACTGCCCTGGGAAACTAATACCAATAAATATCGACGGAATTTTTTTAGACTAGAAGGCACCAATCCAAGATTTAGGAAGCACACTTTTCCAGTGTTTAATTTCTTAGTCAATCAAGAGTAGCAAATCCGTCAGAAGGCAATACAGAAAGAAGCCTTAATAAAGTAGAATGACCGTACAAAATAAAACATTTAAATTTAGGGTTACTGAATATGAAAGAATAACAATGTTCCAGTAATAAGGAAGATTATCACCCTGAGTATGAAAAGTGAATTGACAGATCTAAATGTGTGCTACTAACAAGAGCTATAAAGCAACAAAACCCAAAGCCAAAAAAATAAAACCCAACATTAAACAAAGAAGTATGAATGGCCAAGAAATATGAAAGAATCGTGGGGAGCAGGAGCAGACTGTGCTGAGGCAGGTGAGGATGGAAGCAGAAGTAGGTGGTCCGCAGGAGATGTAAAGTTACATTAAAGGTAATGTTTTTTAAAAAGTACTTGAAAATTATCTTGTATCTTCAATTTTAATATTTTAACTTAAAATTAATTTTTTAAAGATGTAGTTATTTATTTGGAAAGAGTTACAGAGAGGGAGGGAGAGCAGATCTTCCATCTGCTGATTCACTCCCCAGATGGCCCCAACCACCAGGGCTGGGCCAGGCAGAAACCAGGAGCTTTCTCCGGTCTCCCAGGCTGGTAGTAGGGGCCTAATCACTTGGGCCACCTGCCACTGTCTTCCCAGGCACGTTAACAGGGAGCTGGATCAGGAGTGGAGCAGCTAGGACATGAACAAATGCCCATATGGGATGCCCTTGTTGGAGGAGGAGGCTTTACCCACTAAACCACCGTGCTAGTACCAAAGTTTTTTAGCCTTGTGATTGGCTTAATCATTCCTCCCCTATATATGTATGTCTTTTTAGTTACCAAGATCTAATCTATTCCAAACAGAAGCTTACAATTTCTTTTTGTTTTCATTCTGATCCTTGCTAGAGCATAACCACACAGGAGTCATAACTTGCTTGGACCTTTGGGAGATAGTCATTAGTTTTCATCTTGTTCTCAGGAGGCAGGTACTGTCTGCGATTCTGTTTGGCTAATTATCGGATAAGCAGATCTAACATCTCCAGTCTATAGAATCCCCCTACTCTCAAATCATTCTGTTCTTGCTTTTCTGTCACTAACATTGTAAATAAGATTATTATCCTTAGGCTAATGTTAGTATTATTACCAATAAAATATTTTTATTGAAAAATTCACATACTATGCCTTGCATACTACTTAACAGGTACTCTAACACTTTATTGGAAGGAAAGTTGCCCTTTATTACACTAGTTTTAGCAACATAATAAATACTGCTTGTTCCATATGTCTATATTAGGGTGAGCTCCCTAGTAACAGTCCAAGATGGCAGTTTTGTTCAAGTGACAATTTGAAGAGGATGCTCTTAGCAGAAAGGAAGTGAGAGAGGTAGACAGGACAGAGGGACAGTACTCACACGAAACCAGAGTGTGGACTCAGGTGTCAACTTCATTCCAATGGCACAGAGCACAAATTGCAGCGCCTACACAAACTCACCCTGAGGCAAAGGAAGTGTCAAGTACTATGTGTTGGGAGCTCCCATGCTTCCCACAGAAAGCAAATACCAGGAGCTTCGTCTTTCAAAAAGGAGAAATGTATTTATGTGACCCAAAGTGAAGGGGAAAGATCCCAAATCATTCTCCCTGTAAATGGGGCATGACAGGGAAACTGGGTGATGGGACAAGATAGGATTAAAGAAAAAGAGTGTGGAAAATCCATTTATGCACATTAGCCGACCATCCATCTACATGTGTCACATGTTGAAAGATGGCTGACAAGTTGTCAGCAAGCGTGCATCATTTCATATAATACACTGACTCCAGTCTGCTATCTTGGTCATTACCTAGTTCTGTCCAGTATTAATTAGCAGGTGTTTTCCTAAAAGACAGCTGAGCTGAAGTTTAACAAAGACAACTATTATTGGTTACACTAGGCTAACGAATGATGATTGTGGATTGTTAGGTGCTAAACAAGGAGAGAGAGCTCCTTTATCGCCCACAGTTTCATGTGCAGGGCCCAAGATTCACACTAATAAGCCAGCCGTTTTCATAGATACTGGCAGAAGATAGGAGACTCCTGGATCAGAGATAAATGACTTCATTATTCATGGCAAAAGCCATAGCCAAAATGTCAACTTGGTGTTTGAGCCAGTTCCCCATGCCCCTCAGTTCTTACAAAAATGACCCAAAGAGCGCCGGATTCTGTCCCAGTTGCTCCTCTTCCAGGCCAGCTCTCTGCTGTGGCCCGGGAATGCAGTGGAGGATGGCCCAGGTCCTTGGGCCCTGCACCCCATGGGAGACCAGGAGAAGTACCTGGCTCCTGGCTTCTGATCAGCGCGGTACACCAGCCACAGCGGCCATTGCGGGGTGAACCAGCGGAAAAGGAAGACCTTTCTCTCTGTCTCTCTCTCACTGTCCACTCTGCCTGTCAAAAAATAAATTAAAAAAAATTAAAAAATTAATTAATTAAAAAGAAATGACCCAAAGAGCCCATAATCAATTCCTGTATGCTCAGAAGGCTTCATTGTAAGAGAGGAGCACTGAGTTTAAGGAATTCACTGCTTTTTAAGAAAAGTACACCTTCTGTTTGTGCAGAAATATTACTTTATGTAATGAGGTTACCTGCTGCAAACACAACTGGGAGAATGTGCCACATTAAGACCAGTTAGGACTTTGCATTCTGACTCATTCAACAACAATGTGGCAGGATACTCAACCGCATGATTGCCTCTCCTGGGGGGTGGGGGGTGGGGATGGTTTCTAAGTGTTCTGTCTGCAGGGAGAAAGCAAAGTATCCCAGCTTGAAGGAACGCCTGTTTGCCTGGGGACAAAGCCACAGGGAAGGAACAGCTCTGAGCTGTTTTACCATTCCCAGCAGCTGGGGATCTGGGCAGTAACTCATCAGGAGGGTCTAAGAAGGGCACCATCAGCATCCACTGCACCCGCCTTTCACTTTGAAATCAGATTTCTTTCAGATTCTGTATCATAACGAATGTCGACAATTTCTATTACAGAATATTCTAAATTTACAGCATATGATGCAAGCAGTCGTCAGGTTTGCAATGGTGATTTTATAAGAAATCCCAAGATTTTGGCAGAAATAAACCTATTCTCTTGCTTTTTTCAATCTTAGTTTTCATTTTCTCAAAAAAGTACTGAATTTGGGGTTAACTTCTTACAGGAGTCTTGCGACGTTACAAAATCACGTTAGGGGGCCTGGTAGTTAAGGACGCCTGGTCCCATAGTGGATTGTGTGGCTTCTGCTTCTTGCTAAGGCAGCAGTGAGGGCGCAAGCCGTCGTCTTCCTCCTGCCCATGTGGGAGAACTAAATTGCCACTCTCAGCTCCTTGTGAATGCTCCCTGCATCTCCATTTTCACTTTCCAGACCTCTCCAACGCTTCTGTTAAGCCACAGCAGCAACCATGTGCAGTCCGAAAACCGCAGACGACAGCGTGAGTTTGAATGAGGTAAGGCACTGTCTTCTCATCTCGTTCGTTTTGATGCCCTTCCTGAGCATGCCCAGTGCTTCCTTAGCCCTTCTGAATCTAGTAGCACTCTGGGCTGATGTCTCCAGTGAAAAGAAAAAACCCTCTACCTCTAGTTCCTGAGTAATAACTGATGGTGCTGTCTGCATCACCCTATTCGGATTGTTTTTCTTCCAAATATCTTACCTAATAGTGCATCATCCTAAAGTTCACTAGGAATTTTTATATTCACTAATGCAACCATAAAATTTTGAGAATTACATAATCAATGGTTTTTATATATCTTGGAAGAGACTTTTGGGAAAAAAAAATCCCTTAGTTCAAACTACGTATTGTCTAAGCTATAGGTAAGGAAACTGACTCCTAAAAAGATTAAATGAATCTTCCAAAGTTATAAAAGTAGTTCAGGCCAGCGCCGCGGCTCACTAGGCTAATCCTCCACCTTGCAGCACTGGCACACTGGGTTCTAGTCTTGGTTGGGGCACCGGATTATGTCCCGGTTGCCCCTCTTCCAGGCCAGCTCTCTGCTGTGGCCAGACAGTGCAGTGGAGGATGGCCCAAGTGCTTGGGCCCTGCACCCCATGGGAGACCAGAAGAAGCACTGGCTCCTGCCATCGGATCAGTGCTGTGCGCTGGCCGCAGCGCGCTGGCCACGGCGGCCATTGGAGGGTGAACCAACAGCAAAGGAAGACCTTTCTCTTTCTCTCTCTCTCTCTCACTGTCCACTCTGCCTGTCAAAAAGAAAAAAAGTAGTTCAGTGATTTTCTCCCTAGTCTATTGAATTATAATGAAGTGGTTTATTTTCTAAAATAGTATCATGTAATTATTATTTTTTTAAAGATTTATTTATTTATTTGAAAGTCAGAGTTATAGAGAGGCAGAGAGAGGAGAGACAGAGAGAGAGGCCTTCCATCCACTGCTGCACTTCCCAGATGGCCGCAGCGGCCGGACCTGCACCGATCTGAAGCCAGGAGCTTCTTCCCTTCTCCCACGTGGATGCAGAGGTTCAAGGACTCAGGGCATCTGCTACTGCTTTCCCAGGCCACAGCAGAAAGCTGGCTCGGAAGTGAAGCAGCCGGCATTGCAGGCTGCAGCTTTACCCACTAGGACACAGCGCCGCTCCGTATCATGTAATTATGTAACTGCAGCTCTCCAATCACACTAAGGGTCTTGAGTTCTTTTCTTGATCACCAATCAAGACTCTTTACTGGAAGCTTGTTCCTGATTGGTGAAAGTAAACTATAACAGTAGAATGCCAAGGAGTAAACACAAAAGCATAGCAACAACTGAGTTTGCTGCCTCAACTACCCTCAACCTAGGCCAACCTGGACTCCTTCATCCCAAATGAGGCGGCCTCTGCTTTTTATATGAAGGTTCTGATTTACCATTCAGCTGCAATCCATCTTATAACATGGCAATCCAATACAGACAAGAAGATACAACTGAATGACACAGCCAAAATAGAGTATAGTTCCAGGTAAAATAGGCAGATGCTTTCATTCGAAATTATTAATCTGATGGTGTTCAGTTACAAGAACACAGGAAGGTGCCAGTGCACAAGAGCTGTATCTACGGGAGGCATCCCTGATTCCCACTAAATGGTAGCAGTGGTGGTAGGCAACAGACTCATTGCATTGTATGAACTTGAGCCAGGCAGGACTTGCAAACAGGTCTCATCATTAACTCCGTGCTGTGGAAGCAGATGTGGGAAACAGCTGTCTCAGAGCTGGGGAGGGTCCTGGTTCCTGGGAAAGAACCTTTGACATGTCAGAGTTGGGAATTTGCTCTCCTCTCTCTAGCAGATGGAGGGAGGATGCTTTTAATGAGTGCCAGCTAGGAATGGAGTCTGTTTTTGCACTTTTCTGGGGGAAAGGTTTCTACTATCATATGTTTTATTCTTGTTTACAGAATTCACATTGTGGAAACAGGATGAAGTTGATCAGTGAAAAGTTGCCCAAGAATCCCTTTTATGCCTCTTTATCTCAGCATGCTGCTAAGAACCAAAAGTTCTTCCAGTGGAAGAAGAAGAAGACTGGTATAAATTTAATCTTCCTTGGAGACTATTTTTATTAAAAGTTTATTCTGACCACTAAAGCAAACGAGACAAGAAATTCGCGAATGATTGCTTTGAAGGACTTGGTTAATTTACACTCCTTTCTAACTTTTCCTACAAGAATCTGAAATTTCTACTTCATTTATTTGGTGGCAAATTAACAAGGAGTCTTACAACTCCGTACTGGTCCTTATTTTACTCACAGGACTGAGGGGCATCCCTCCCAAAAAGAGAAGTCAGGTGTCATGTCTTTTAAAGAGAATAATGAATGCCATGCTTTCCTTGAAGCTGGCATTGAAAGCTACCATTATTTTATTCTACAGACTTTAAAAAAATTAGGGAGGGCCGGCGCCGCGGCTCACTAGGCTAATCCTCCGCCTAGCGGCGCCGGCACACCGGGTTCTAGTCCCGGTCGGGGCGCCGGATTCTGTCCCGGTTGCCCCTCTTCCAGGCCAGCTCTCTACTGTGGCCAGGGAGTGCAGTGGAGGATGGCCCAGGTGCTTGGGCCCTGCACCCCATGGGAGACCAGGAAAAGCACCTGGCTCCTGGCTCCTGCCATCGGATCAGCGCGGTGCGCCGGCCGCAGCGCGCCGGCCGCGGCGGCCATTGGAGGGTGAACCAACGGCAAAGGAAGACCTTTCTCTCTGTCTCTCTCTCACTGTCCACTCTGCCTGTCAAAAAAAAAAAAAAAAATTAGGGATTGTTCATTCGATTACAGTAGTTCTAGCTAAGACTTAAATTAAGAATGTAACTAACCCACAAGAAAGCTTTGCCCGAAGAAAAATCTGATGCATGGATATAGACTGCATTGTTAGAACTCCTACCTTGCAGTGAAGTTAGTTTGAAAAACCAATCAATAAATATTTCTAAATTATATAAGGTATTGTGGTAATGCAGTTTGTTTGTTTTGAGGATAATGCTTTTTCCATGAGCTAAGGAGGTCAGTTTTAGGAATGAGAACTAGGAATGAAACTAGTATTAACAGTGTCAAATGAATTCTATACAATTTAATGCTCAAAAAACTCTTACTGTTTATTAACACTTTTACCTTTTTAAATTCAGATCTTTATAGCCATGCTAACCTGGTGGATAAGGCACTGCAGATCTTGAAGGAAAGGATAAGAAAAGGGGATGGTCTCGCATATTTTCTACGAGGTCAACTCTATTTTGAAGAGGTATCCTCTTTTGTTTGTTGCTATTTCCTATAATTCTGTTAGATCCCCTCATAGCAAAATCTCATATAGAGTTCCTTACATTATTATGCCATGAAAATTCTTTCAAATTACATATACCTGCGGGCTTACTCTTGATATACTTCCACCAGCTTAAGGAGATACCTGACCTCTGTTAAAAAAGTCAACCTAGGCTGGCGCTGCGGCTCACTAGGCTAATCCTCCACCTGCGGTGCCAGCACCCCAGGTTCTAGTCCCGGTTGGGGTGCCGGATTCTGTCCTGGTGGCTCCTCTTCCAGGCCAGCTCTCTGCTGTGGCCTGGGAGTGCAGTGGAGGATGGCCCAAGTCCTTGGGCTCTGCACCCGCATGGGAGACCAGGAGGAAGCACCTGGCTCCTGGCTTCGGATCGGCGCAGTGCTGGCCGGCCGTAGCGGCCATTTCGGGGGTGAACCAACGGAAGGAAGACCTTTCTCTCTGTCTCTCTCTCTCTCTCTCTCTCACTGTCTAACTCTGCCTGTCAAAAAAAAAAAAAGAGTCAAGCTAATAAATTTATGGTAGTCATTAATAGGAGTCATTTTGGCATAAAATCCATTTTCATCCTATAAATTAAAAATATATTATGTCTCACAGTATTTAATAATTCATAAAAATATTTTCATATCAATAAAAATGAAGACCGTGATCTCATCTAGTACTTATAAGTTGCCTCTGTGTTCCTACATAGAAAGAGGAGAGAATTGGCCTCTTTGTTGACCTGCTGGGATAGCCTGGGAGGTAGACCCAGAGGAACCGTGCAAACACCATCATTCTGACTTCAGTTCTTCACAGAATGCCAGGGACAGATTTGAAAAGGGTCTGTCTCCAATCCCTCAAGATCCATAGACTATTTGGGCAGTTACGCACCTATATCCTACTCATTGTCTAAACGTTCAGTGGTATTTTCCTTTATTCTGGAAACAAATATCTGTTGCGGACTCGTCTTACGGTTGCCACTCTGAGGCTAGCATAGCGTAGTGGCTGACAGTGTGATCGCCCAGCTTTGGATGTGACTTACTTCCTGGGGCTCAAAGAGCCTCTTGGTGCATCAGCTGGTATTAATTTAAGATTGTAATAAAAGTAATTGCATATTTTCTGGGAGCTTATAGGGATGGTATGAAGAAGCACTCGAGCAGTTTGAAGAAATCAAGGAGAAAGATCATCAAGCAATTTACCAGCTAGGAGTAATGTATTATGATGGACTGGGGACCATACAAAATGCTGTAAGTTATTGTTTGGTTCACAGTGTTTAAGATTTTGTTGTTCATGGATTGTTTTATATATAAGTTAAATTATATTTTAGTATAGCTTTATCCTATATTTTAATAATATATAACTTTTTAAAATTTTAAAGGACATCAACATCCTTTTTATATTTATGTAAAAAACAAAGTCAATTTCTGTTTGCCCCACTTCTCCTTATCTGTCCTCAACTTAACGTTTCCAGATTTTTGGCTGAGTTCAGCTATACAAAAGAATGAGCCCCTTTTTACATGAGCTTTTGATGTTTACTTTGCTCCACCCCCAAATGCTAGAGAACTGCTTAATCTTTCCAATAATTTCCTCTTGTATGCTAATAGTGAACTAGTGCTATTCTGCTGGAATGCCTTCCATATGGAGTTGTTTTTTTGCTGTTTGTTTTTGTTCAAATGGTAGTCAGAATGAAATAACCATCTCAGCGGCTTCTTGGTCATCAGCTTTTAGGGCAGTTTGTCTCTTTTGGAGCGTACAGCTCTACCACTGAGAATTCACTTTATTGAGGGGAAGAAGGGCAAAAGTTTCAGATTCCTATTTTAAGTATGGTTCTCATAATTAACAGCAGAGAATCTTTGACATGCTAAAATATTTATGAAAAGAATATAGCAATTTATGCCAAATAAACTACCCCAAGTAAAAGTGGATTTTATTATATACTGTATAAAGAGTAAACACATCTGTAGCTGTAAATTTTGGAATATCATATTAGAAGTACTGTGGGAAATTCAGATAATTTGGCGGAGAAATTACAGTGTCATTCTGACGTGAACTTTTCTCATTGCACAATTTGAATCTCTAAGGATCAATTAGAACTTTTGAATTCTCTAATTTACCACTGAAAAATGTTCCTTGCTATCATTAGCTGTCAATAATATTTCCATTTAAAATGCTTTTCTTTATTTTTAAAGTTACATGTAGTTCCAAAGCTACATGAACATTGATAAAAATAAGAAAATAAGCAAAAATAGAATCACTCCAAATTCTACTCTCAAATATATACTTATTACTTTAATATATAATCTTCCATGTATTATCTATGCACATAAATTATATATAAATCCACATATACATGTATATATATGAATGTAGATTTACAGTTGGATTCCGCATCCATGAATTCAACCTACCACAGATAAAAATATCCAAAAAAATCGATTCTGTACTAAACATGTACAGATTTGTTCTTTGTCGTTACTTCCTAAACAATTATTTACATAGCATTTACCTTGTATTAGGTTTGATAAGTAATCTGGAGATGATTTGAAGTATAGAGGAAGACGTGCAACTTCTTTTTATTGCTTTACAACATTTTATGTAAGGGCATCTTGAGCACCTCTAGGTTTTGATATCCATGCGATTCCTGGAACCAGTCCTTTAGGGACACTGAAGGACAACTACACACACACACACACATACACACACACTTTTTCAACAAAGGACCACACTATAAATACAATGGTGTTTTATCTTATTTTTACCTAACAATTTTGAATGTTCTTCCTTGTAAATAAACATAATGTATATCATTTTAATAGCTGTACTGCAATCAATAATAGTGTATTTCTAAGCCTTATTTATTTTGGCATGTTTGAAAGAGAATAAGCTAAATTATGATATTTAGAGATCACTATTACAGTTTTCTCTGTTATTTATGATTTTTAGTTGACTTTTTTTTATAGATTTATTTCTGGGGCTGGTGTGTGGCAGGTAAAGCTGCTGCCTGAGGTGCTGGCATCCCATATGGGCACCAGTTCAAGTCCCAGCTGCTCCACTTCCAATCTAGCTCTCTGCTATGGCCTGGGAAAGCAATAGAAGATGGCCCTTTTGGGCCCCTGCTTCTGCGTGGGAGACCTGGAGGAAGCCCCTGGTTCCTGGCTTCAGATTGGTGTAGCTCTGGCCGTTGTGACTGTCTGAGGAGTGAACCAGCAGTTGGAAGACTTCTTTCTCTCTGCTTCTGCCTCTATCTAACTCTGCCTTTCAAATAAATATATTTTTTAAAGCCTTTTATCTCTGAGTTACAGAGAGAGAGAGAGAGAAAGAGACAGAGAATGCTTCCATCTTCTGGTTCACTCCCCAAATGGCTGCAATGACCAGGGCTGGGCCAGGCTGAAGCCAGGAGCCAGGAGCTTCTTCCAGGTCTCCCATGTCTGTACACGGGCCCAAGTACTTGGGTTATCTTCCACTGCTTTCCCAGGCCCATAGCAGGGAGTTGGAAGGCAAGAGGAGCAGCTGGGACTCGAGCCAGTGCCAATATGGAATGCTGGCATTGGTTTATGTATTTCATAGTCTCCAGGCTTACTGGGCATTGTCCCCTATTTGTCAGTGCCTCTGTTTTCCAGAGACACTATTTCTACATTTTCCTCTATGTCCTCTCCAGATTCAGCTTTATATATTTAATGCAATTAGACTCAAATTAGAGACAGGATTTTTTATGGCACTTGGCCAACTGCTCGTAACATTAATATGAAAGAGCAAATGGAGGTGGCATTGTGGCACAGTAGGTTAAGCTGCTGCTTGCATTGCTGGCATCCCATATCAGACTGCCAGTTTGACTTCTGCCACTCTGTTTCCAGGCCAGCTCTCTGCTAATGCACCTGGGCAAGCAGTGGAAGATGTCAGAAGTTCTTGGGTCCCTGCCACCCATGTGGGAGACCCAGGTGGAGTTCTTGGCTCTTGGCTTCCACCTGGGCCAGCCCTGGCTGTTGTGGGCATTTGGGGAGTGAAATGGTGGGTGGAAAATTTCTCTCTCTCTCTCTCTCTCTCTCTCTCTCTCTCTCTCTGTCATTCTGCCTTTCTGATAAATGTATAAATAAATAAAAAGAAAAATCAAATATACAATAAGCCAACTTTAAAGAAAGAACAAAGGGAGAGGGACTCAAACCACTAAAGAGCCCAATATAAATGTGTAATACTTTTTTTATTTTTTTTTTAAATTTTTTGACAGGCAGAGTGGACAGTGAGAGAGAGAGACAGAGAGAAAGGTCTTCCTTTGCCGTTGGTTCACCCTCCAATGGCCCTGGCGCACCACGCTGATCCGATGGCAGGAGCCAGGTACTTATCCTGGTCTCCCATGGGGTGCAGGGCCCAAGCACTTGGGCCATCCTCCACTGCACTCCCTGGCCACAGCAGAGAGCTGGCCTGGAAGAGGGGCAACCGGGACAGAATGTGGCGCCCCGACCGGGACTAGAACCCGGTGTGCCGGCGCTGCAAGGTGGAGGATTAGCCTAGTGAGCCGCAGCGCCGGCCTAAATGTGTAATACTTAAAACAATGTGGTATTTATTCAGAAATAGACAAATAGATCAGAACAACCAAATGGAGAGTCCAGAAAGAACTACAGAGAGGTATGGGGTATAAGTATTTAATATAAATTTGCTATTTCAAATTTATGAAATCTTACTTTAGAGAGTAAGGTATGCAGAGTTTACACAGAGTTCACATTGGACTACTTCAGGCAAAACAGAGTCGTCTTGCAGAAGTGTGTTTTCATTTACTCACCCCCATCCTTGGTGCTGTTTGTATAGATTTATGTTTGTTGTCACCCCAAAACAAAGCACAGTTACGATTTTTACTGTACTCACAAAGCTTTTGAAAAGTTGAAAGTATAAACACACACACCGGGACGTGTTTATGTGTGTGTCCTCACACTTGCTACCTATTTATCCATTCTGGTGCTCACCATTCCTTCCTCTCAACCTGAGTTGCCACCTGGCACCATTTCCCACTTCCCTTCAGCCCAAAGAACTTCCTCTAAGGGCATTTCTTGTAGAGCAAGTCTGCATGTGTGAATTACCTCCAAGCTTGAGTATCTTAAAATGCCTCCAATTTGCCTGTACTTTTGATGTTTTCCTAGTTACATTTTTAAAAATACGTCATTCAGAAATCTTTAGGCCTTCATTGTGTCTCCTGAGAAGTCAGTCTCCACTTGTGTTGTCGTCTTTCTCTTTGGCTTTCAGCAGTGTGGCTGTGGCTGTGCTGAGTGCCTAGCAAAGGGTTTCCTATGCCCCTCTTGCCTGAGATTTGTTGAGCTTTGTGGGTCCCAGCTGCACCGTTGAAGAGGAATCTCTTCTCTAGCTTGCATGCTTTCGCACACTTCACAGTACCTTTGAAGTCCTTGTTGGTGCTGTATCCGGATTTAATCATTGTCATCTGTGGGAGGACTTGCACAACCACTTCACTGAACAGCTGTTACCTTAAATTCCCTCCTACTACCTGTTTGGGCGGGGGGTAGGGGGAGAGGTGGGCAATGTAGACACCCACTCAAGTATTTACAGAAATAAATCTGTATAACCTGGAAATCACCAGCAGTAAGAGACCCTAATTTCTCAGCTGTTACGTGGTGGTTGGCCGGCAGCAGCACTTTGAGTGTGATGGGAGGGTGCCTAAAGTGTATCTGTCCTTAGTATTTTCTTCTTGTGAGAGACATTTGAAGGTTTGTGTCTGATGGATTTCTTGGAGGAAAGTGAAATTCTTTCCTTGCTAGTGGTTAGAACATCTGTGCTTTGCGACTGTGTAGCAATATCCGATGCAGATTGGTATATTGGGTGAAAATGAGCACTGAGCAGTTAGTGAAAGTAGACTTGAAGGGAAGATAGTATTTGTTAGGGGCCCACACGTGCACTCAGACAGCTATAAATACGGACGTCATTATGGCTATCTTCGCACTGGGATAAATTTGAGTAAGGACTGTAAGGTGGAGGGCTGGAGAGAAAGAAGGAAACCCATATGAGACTTAGTGCAATCAAATGGAGGACATTTCTCTCCCAGAGCTCCTGGGGATGCTTGATGAGATGAGAATGTTACAGATGCTTCCCTCATCTCTAGCCCAGCAGAATCCAGAACAATCAGACTCCATGAATAGAAATTCATGATATTACACATCACATGAAAAGGCGAACACAGTTGGGGTAAGATGAAAAACTCGGGCTGTTTGTTTGTGCTTTTGTTTTTGTGGAAGGAAAAAGGCGTGGACTACATGAAGAAAATTCTTGATTCTCCATGTCCCAGAGCAAGACACTTACAATTTGCAGCCGCTTACAACCTCGGCAGGGCTTATTATGAAGGCAAAGGTGTTCCACGATCAGATGAGGAAGCTGAAAGGTAATCTCGGCAGCGAGTAAGGCTTTGTTTTTGTGAAATGCTGAAACAAAGAATCCAAGAATGACTTTCTTGCCTTCTCTTTCAGACTGTGGCTGTTTGCTGCAGACAACGGAAATCCAAAAGCTAGTGTGAAGGCCCAGAGCATCCTCGGATTGTATTACTCAACAAAAGAACCTAAAGAGTTAGAAAAGGTAGCATTTCTCTTTCTTCTTCTTCATGGTGGCATTACGGTGATATTAATATTTGTTTCAGTATTTCTTGAATGAGAAATAGGAATGAGTGCATAGTTTTGAATAGATATAGATCTTATCTTTCTTTAAAAGATAAGGAAAGCCTACATTTTAGGCTAAGGTCAGTCCACACCTTTTGCTTATCTATAAATGTTCCCATCCTGACCGCTCCCAAAGGAGATCATGTATGTGTTGTATAGCTATAAAAAGCTACATATACAAAGTATTGCACTATAAAACAAAAAAAAAAAAAGAATTTTGAAATTAAGGCCCAAATACTTTTAAGTATGAATAGTACCATTTTTTAAAGATTTTATTTATTTATTTATTTGAGAGATAGAGTTACAGAGAGAGGGAGAAACAGAGAGAGAAGTCTTCCATCCTCTGGTTCACTCCCCAAATGGCTGCAGTGGCCGGAGCTGGGCCAGACAGAAGCCAGGAGCCAGGAGCTTCTTCTAGGTCTCTCATGTGGGTGCAGGGGCCCAAGCACTGAGCCATCATCTACTGCTTTCCCAGGCCGTAGCAGAGAGCTGGGTCAGAAGTGGAGCAGCTGAGACTTGAACCTGTGCCCATATGGGATGCTGGCACCGCAGGTGGAAGTTTAGCCCACTGTGCCACAGCACTGGCCCCAAATAATAGTACCTTTGATTTCAGGAAGTAATAAGTGGTACTAATAAGTAAAATATATTAAGAACTACTTAGAAGTTAAATCCATTGAAGATTTTCACAGAAATTCTTTTTAAAAAAGATTTATTTATTTGAAAGGAAGAGTCATTTTTTGTTTGCTCCTCAATGGCTGCAACGGCCAAGGCTGGGCCAGGAGCCTGGATCTCCATCCAGATCTCCCACATGGACACAAATACTTGGGCCATCTTCTGTTGCTTTTCTAGGGTTTTCCTGTTTTCTAGTAGGGAACTGTCTAGGAAGCAGAACAGCTGAGACTTGGACCGGTGCTCCAATACTGGATGCCGATGTTGCAGGCAGCAGCTTATCCTAATGCTGGCCCTAAAATGTATTCTCTTTAATCATCAAATAGCGGAAACATTTTCTCAGAAATCCTGCAGGGAGAGGGAATGTGGGGCCGAGTCCAGCTTGTAAGAGTGGAGTTTGGGGCCAGTGTTGTGTTGTAGCTGGTAAAGCTGCCACTTGCAGTGCCAGCATCCCATATGGGTGCCGATTTGAGTCCCGACTGCTCCACTTCCAATCCAGCTCTCTGCTATGGCCTGGGAAAGCAGTAGAAGATGACCTGAGTCCTTGGGCCCCTGCATCCATGTGGGAGACCCAGAGGAAGCTCCTGGCTTCAGATCGGCACAGCTCTGGCCATTGCTACCTCTTCTTCTCTCTCTATGTAACTCTGACTTTCAAATAAATAAATAAATCTTAAAAAAAAAAAAAAAAAGGAGTTTATGTCCACTTTGTAAGAGACACTTAACTAAGAGCAACCTCAGATAACCGAGCAGCCGCTTGGAAACCATTTTTTAAATGAATTCAGCTTCACTGTAGTTGAGCATAAGCGCGGGTGCTAGAGACAACCCCCAGCTTTTATCCTGGGGTCAGTGATCTTGACGGCTTCCGTCTGAGATCCACAGGGAGCCCCACCTTTTCCTCCACATCAGTAGCTCTTCCCTCCTGCCATGCCTCTTAGCAGGTGTGCCTCCGGGCCTCTCCCACACTTAGTTCCTGCTAGGCCTTCTCCATCCTTACTCTGAAGCCTGGACAGCCGACCCTCCCCTGCTGTATTCTGAACTGTGATCTCACCGGCAGTGGGCAGGCAGCAGAGGGACTCACCTTAGCATCCTCCAAGGCCTGTGGATTGGTGCTGGAAGGAACTAGAACTGTTTTTCTAGAGGGGAACAGTAAGAGTTTTTCTTTTGGCAATTTTGTATCATTTAATTTTGTCGATAACAAATAAAATGAACTTGTGCTTTTTCTTAGGCATTCTATTGGCATTCAGAAGCATGCGGCAATGGGAATCTGGAGTCCCAGGGTGCACTTGGTCTCATGTACTTTTACGGCCAGGGCATCCGCCAGGACACTGACGCTGCCTTGTATTGCTTACGAGAAGCAGCAGAGCGTGGCAATGTCTACGCTCAAGGGAATCTCGTGGAGTATTACTACAAGATGAAGTTTTTTACAAAGTGTGTTGCCTTTTCCAAAAGGTGAATGCCTTCGTCATTGTTGTGTGCTGTAACAGGATGCCGTAGACTGGGTAATTTAAAAGGAGCAGTGATCGACTTCTCGCAGCTCTGGGGTCTGAGAAGACCAAGATGGAGGCCCTGGACAGTGTGCTTATCCGACCAGGGCTGCGTCCCCTGGAGACCTGGCAGAGGCGGCAGGGAAGGCTCTTGTGTAGGGTCTGGATCTCAATCACAAGGGACTGGGACGCGCCTCATAAAGGCCCTGCCTCTTAGGACCATCACATTGGTAGCACCCAAATTTTGGAAAGGGCGAATTCAAGGCAAAGCAATACAGATTGAATACGAAACTTCAGTGAGGGGCCAGCACTGTGGCATAGTGAGCTAAGCCTCTGCCTGCAGCGCCGGCAATCCCGTATGGGCACTGGTTCATGTCCCGGATGCTCTTCTTCCAATCCAGCTCTCTGTTATGTCCTAGGAAAGCAGTAGAAGATGGCCCAAGTGCTTGGGCCCCTGCACATGTGCGGGAGACCCAGAAGAAGCTCCTCTCTCCTGGCTTCAGATCAGCTCAGCTCAGGCTGTTGCAGCCATTTGGGGAGTGAATCAGTGGATGGAAGATCTTTCTCTCTGTCTATAACTCTACCTCTCAAATAAATAAATAAAATCTTAAAAAAATTTTTAAATGAAACTATTATGACAATGTCTACCATATGTTTTATTCTTGTCTTTTTGATTTCAAAATTTAATGTCTTACCAGGATTGCTGACTACGATGAGGTTCACGACATCCCCATGATAGCCCAGGTTACTGACTGTCTCCCGGAGTTCATTGGCAAAGGCATGGCCATGGCGTCCTTCTACCACGCACGGTGTCTGCAGCTGGGCTTGGGGATTGCAAAGGATGAAAAAGCTGCTAAACACTATTATACTAAAGTAAGCGTTAGAGCAAACTATAAATTGATTCCAGTAGAAACTGTTAGGCTCTTGGCTGATTCTTGAACAACTTTATGCATTAGTATTTGTTCCTACTTAATTACTATGCAGATAATTTCTGTCTACAGAGGTTGTAAGATTGCAATTTTGTTAGATTCTTAACATAATTAAGCTCATGAGATAAAAAGTCTTATTTTGATGCAAGTTATTCTCTTTCATTCTGCTACTACATGGGTAAAACTTCAAAAAGTTCATGGAAAGCGGAATCAAAAATGAGTTTATTTTGGTGCAACAGTTTTTTGAGGAACGAGCCTTTAGCCCACCAGTTAATGCCACATCCCACATCAGAATGCCTGAGTTCAAGTCCCAGCTCCAGCTTCTGATTCCAGCTTCCTGGTGATGTAGTCTCTGCAAGGCAGTAGTCATGGCTACAGCAGTTGGGTTCCTGCCACCCACGTGGAAACCTGGATGGTGCTCCCACCTCCAGGCTTTGGCCATGGCCATTGCAGGTATTTGGGGAGTGCACCCGCAGCAGATGGGTGATCTGTGTCTGTTCCTCAAACATAATTTAAAAAAAATGAAATCCATGCAGTTTTTTCATAATATACATTTTCTATGAACTTTTTGAGGATCACTCTTTGGCACTGATTTCATTTTTTTGCATAAGAATAAACTTATCTAGTTCTATTTTTCATTAACTTTTTACACTGTCATATCTACAGCCTAAAGCCCAGCATCAAGACCTCAAAGCCAAAAAATTCATCTTTTACCTAGAAAAAGTATGAACCTGTATTTTCATTCTAGTCCTTGATTAAATGTAGTTTTTTTTAAAAAGGCTTTTTAATGCATTACATATGCCAGATTTAAAAGAAATATTCATTTATTTTGAAGTAATCAGTTGAAATATGCCTTTTTGTTTTAATCCACGTGATATTTGTATCCCAGATTTTCACATCTAAAAGTAAAGCAGTTGTTAAAAAGTCAGGGGTGGGAGACATGTCTAAGTACTAAAATCACCTAGGGATCTTTTGCATATGTTAAAGTCCAGGCCTTATTTCAGAAGTATTAAACCATGTTACCTGGGAGTGAAACACGAGCATATTTGTTGAAGCTCCCAAGAGGACTCCAGTGTGTGTATTTTGTTTGAAATTAAAATTTTCAGAGTATCAAACCCATTTAAATACATAAATAAAGACACACAGTACACAATATACAAAAAATGACCCTTGAGGTATTTGCCATTATACCATTTTATTTGAGTGGCTAATAATCATTATTAACTTTTTAAAAATCTGAATGCTGTATTATTCCAATTTCCCGGTGATCTCACTTTTAAGTTTTATGCTATCCTTAGTATCCTTCCCAAACAAACATAATTAGAGAAAATCCAGGGTCAAAAGTGTCCTGATATGTAGCATATATCCATCTGAATAAAATGGCAAAAAAAAAAAAAAAAAAAAGATGGCAAACACAGAGCTGTTTCCATAGATACGAGAGAAGAGCCCCATTACTCTGCACTGACAAACCACATCGAGAATCCTGTATTCAGTTTTGGCCGCTGTATATTACGAAGGATGCTGATACGATGGAGGAAATTCAGAGACCGCCATCCAGTGAAGGATCGGAATCATGTCACAGGAGACAGGAAGAAGAAACTGAGAATGTTTCATTCACAGCAGAAGGGCAGAGGGGGTCCTGAGAAAGGTTTTCACTGGGTTGACAACGTGCCCTATGGGAAAGGCACTACTGGTGAAGAAAACAGACGATGATGGTGTGTTCTGAGAAAGGGTGGGGAATCAGGTGGTGAACCATGGCCCCGGGCAGCAGAGCCATGCCTGCTCTCACCTCTGCTTCAGCGACACAGCTGGGTGACTCCACCAACGACCTTCCCTCTTAGAGTTTCTTTGAAACCAGCATTGTGTGTTCTCCTAGGATCCTTCAGTGGCTCTAAATGACACTCAGAGGGAAACTTCAGTTTAGCATATGGAAGAATCTTCTAATGGAACTGTTTAGGAAGCAAACAAAACCAACTTTTCTCTATAATGTGGTAATTTCCTGCCTCTAGAAGCAACTAAGTAAATACCTAGTTGATTGTTGTGGGTATGGAAGGGACAATTTCTGCATGAGTTAGTTTTGGATGAGATAACCTCTGGTCTCTCTCCCAGATTCTTGACATTTTAGGAATTATGCACCTTATCACTGTTTGCTTTAGGCAAAATAAAAGCAACTAGATATTTTAAAATAAAATTATTATAGATGCTGCCACGCACATAATGAGATCACAACAAGCTTGAGGCCAAATGTGAATGTTTTTATTTTCCTTATTCAATAATTCATAACATCAGTGCTAGCCTCAGTGCTTAAATTCCCTTTACTCTTGGCACTGATAAAATTTTATCTTTCAAACGATAACAACATGGTTATTTTAAGTATTTTATGTAGGTCAAATTTGAAATTTCCTTATTTCAATTAGGAAATCCGAATAGAATGTATCTTAATTAACCACTTCCCTTGAAGTTCACTATACTTTTCTTAGAAACGAATGAAATAGAAAATGGAAAGGAAGGATCCACACAATTAGAATTTTCTAAATAACTGACTCTGATTTGCAGGCTTGTCACCTGAATCCGGAGCTGGCAGATGGACTCTACTCCCTCCTCATTCACCAAGGAATTTAGACAACAGTGCATTGCAACAAAGACCAGCAATCCTAACACCCTATAATACCTGCATTTTTATGGTAGCTATGATTGGTTATTTTCTGCATTCAAGTTACATTATCTTGGGTAATTTACAGAGGTTTCCTTCTTAAATTTGCAAGCTGTACTTTTTGCAAATTGAAACCTATCCACAGGATCAAATTGCTTAGTACTCAGGGTATATTGAAACCATGTCATAAAGCAAGTATCTTTCCTCTCTTTAACATGAAGTGTCTGAAAACACTGAGAGTGTTTTACTTTAATATATTCAGAAGAATAAATGCTATAAACTTCTTTAAGACATCATTTGAAAATGTAATTATTTACATTTATTTGATCCTTAGTTTTGTGAATTTGGAAGAATGAATTTTTAATTTTAATTTTTTGTGTCACTTAAAAAAATTAAAGCTCATGAAACTAAAGAGTTTTAAAGAATTACACATAACATTTTGGTAACTGTGTATATAGCATTTCTACTTCTGAAGTTATGAAAGCTAACAGAATCTAAAGATTTTAGCTTATTAGAAATTTTTAAAAAGTCAGTTTAAGAAGTTGTTTAGAATACTGCCCCTCCAAATTTTCCCTCGAAGATTTTAATTTAAAGAGCAAAACAATTACTATTCCTGATGAATATTCACAAGGTAATAAATTAAAGCAAGATGTTTCTTTGTGCTTCAACTCATTTTCTACATTTTTCTAAAGCTTAGATATATTTCAATGCAAAAATAAATTATGAAATGATACAATTATAAATATCATCAAAAATAAATTAACTTAGTGGCTTTCCTTCTATCAATGACATTGATGAAGGCAAAAGATCACAGCAAAACCAGTAAGGTCCACATGCATAAGATGACATAGTGGTATTTATTAGCAGAAACAAATATGACTTGAGATATTTTATCCCTTTCTATCAATACACAAAATCAATGTGTCTATTTTATAAATCATAACCATTCTTTCTGACAGTGGATTTAAACAGTATCTCTTCTTGGTGAGAAAATACAATTAATATGTAGGTGATAGTCACAAAAGAGCTGTGGTAGAGCAGAAATTACTTCTCTTGCTTATATTCTGGTTTGCCTATATTACTTGAACTTCAAATGTCCTCAGTCACATATTTGTCTTATATCATTTAAAAAATATAAACTTAAACCAGCCCAAACCCCAATAGAGCTCAGAAATCCTAAATGTAGGAATCTGACATGTACCCTGTATGATAACACACCTAAACGTCTTCAGTGAGCCCAACGTGGAATGCACACTTTTAGTTTACGGTAGTGTGGTAAAGGCGATGCTCCCGCACAGGGAGCCCCTGCGTACTGTCACAGGGTGTGTGCCCCGTGACCTGTGAGGGGAGTCACTCTGAATGAGCTGAGGCTTCCAGATTATTCATATTAAAAAAAAAACTTCCATAAGACACTTATATCAGATATCTCATAAAATTTATCTTAAAGAAATATTGAGTAGCCCGGCGCCGCGGCTCACTAGGCTAATCCTCTGCCTGCGGCGCTGGCACCCTGGGTTCTGGTCGGGGTGCCGGATCCTGTCCCGGTTGCTCCCCTTCCAGCCCAGCTCTCTGCTGTGGCCAGGAGTGCAGTGGAGGATGGCCCAAGTGCTTGGGCCCTGCACCTGCATGAGAACCAGGAGAAGCACCTGGCTCCTGGCTTCAGACCAGCGCAGCGCTGGCCGTAACGTGCTGGCCGTAGCGGCCACTTGGGGGGTGGACCAACAGAAGGAAGACCTTTCTTCTGTCTCTCTCTCTCTCTCACTGTCTAACTCTGCCTGTCAAAAAACAAACAAACAAACAAACAAAAACCAAAAAAAAACAAAACCAGAAATATCGAGGAGTCAAAATAATAATTACTTTTTTCATTTACAGTAATCATTTAACAGCTACAGTTTGAGTTATGCATACCACAGATATTTCCAGTAACTGTTATGAGTTATTTTGGCTTGGCAAATTTATACTGCTTCTCTTCCTTGAATATGTATTTTATATTTATGTTGTCTTTTCAATATCTCTTCAAAGAATAATTCTTATCCACATAAATAACTGGGCTTTCCAAAGGGTCAAACATGATCCTGGTTTGCAAAAAGGATCAAAGAATTTTAACTATAAGAATTTCAAATATAAAATTTGTTTTGCTAAGTTTTAGTTATTCATGTTTCAGAACTTGTTTCTTATCAAGAACATAGCAGGTATGATATATCCATAATAAAGCCTATGCCACTTTTTATGTATATATTCTTTGCTGAATTAAACTGATTTTTTTTACCTTACAATTGCTTTGTTTCTGGAATTTGAGGGGGACAGTATTTTATTATTTTTGCATAATAGGTAATAAACTCTAGGAAAATTGGTTAAGTAACTTGGCCATGGCCTCACTATCAACAGCAAGAGAAAATCTGTACATTAATTACCTTAATGCCGATGATAGAATCCAGTACCTAAACTCCCTGAGTGCCTTTTTCTCTTTTTTCTGTTTTCCTGCCTAATCCAAGGTTCAGCTCACATCTTACCTACCTAACGTTTCATTTTAAGCACTAATTTGGCTCTTTTCATTCATGAAAAACCATATTATTTCATATGTTTATTTCATATCTGGAGAAAGGGAGCACGCTTTATACATCCATGCTTAAGTACTTAATTGCACAATGTTTTCCATTAAAAAGGCACTCAATAAATATTTGAACTGCCCAAAGTGTTTCAAACGTTTTTCTGAGATGTAAGTATCTTAAAAATCAAAGAGCACTGTGATTCATTTTTTGTATTTTATTGCTTCAAATGCTTCAAACTATGGGAAATCTTTGGTAAAAATAAAAACAATAAAATTTTCACAATAACTTTACACAAAGCATTGCACAACAATGTTCTTCAGTACACATGAAATAATACAGGAATGTTCAGAATCCTCAGTGAGGAAGTTACCTGTACAATATTAATAGTTCTTCATTTTAAAACAAAACTGTTCTCATAAATATTTAAAATATTTCCTAGGTTCTTATCACATATTAACATTTGTATTTCAATCAGTATATTGAACTTTGTTATTATTTAAATTTAAAAAATCAATAAACAGAAGGATTGTTCTTCATGTTACCTATTACAGCATTATTTCCCCCTCCTCCTAATTCTGCTTATTTCTCATAAAACTAGAAGGAGGTAACTAAAATAAAAGCCGTATGCTTCTCAGTCAAGCCCTCTGCGGAAAAGAGGAAAATGTTTCATGTCTATTATGACACAGACATTTCTCTGGGGGTTTATTTGTGCAGTCTTAAACTTGGCCAGCTTTGAGATGGTCTGCATGATGAGTCCTCAGCTCAGGACACAGTTCAATCAGCAGCAACTCCATCAGCACCTGAACCAAGAAAAAAACATAGGAAAATCTGTTCTTTTTTCCTTCAAAGCCTTATTCAAAATACATACCTACATTTATGACAATAGTCTACTTGTACTAAGATTATTTTTAGTAAACACATGATTCTCAAGCAAAAGGAATTAATGCTGTATAAACTCCATTTACCAACAGACTGACTTATTTCATGGGAACATACCGTAGAATTATTTAATAATATTTAATTAATATTAATATTTAATACTGATAATTCGTATAATATTTAATATTGATAATATTATTAATATTTAATACTGATAATTATAATCAGATGTTTGGGAAACAGTCTGCTTGGCTGCAATAAGAAAACCAAGCAGTCATGCAGGGATGTGGCATCAAAACTCAACAGACAACTAGTACGGGAGAATGAGAAAGTACATCCATCATCCACTGGGGTGCTTTTATTCTTCTCAACCAAATGAACAAATAATATCGATGCCGAGAAAATGAGACAGAGTTATTAAACAGGCGTGATTAAGAATACAAAGAGTAAAGTCTACCCCAATATGTGGACAGAAACAAAATCCAAGAACTCATTCATCCTCTGGGAGCTTTGCATTTACTCACATACAACAGATGCTTATTAGCTCTTGTTTCTTGCAGTGCGTTGAATATTTTTATTATGCCATGGCGGGCATTTTGCTGTCCAACAAGGTTCTGAAGCATATCTGGAAAATTGAGTTTATATTGTATGCTGTGATTGCGACAGTGAGCAATGCACAGATACCCAGTGAAGGAGATATTACATGGCACATACACAACACCAAAGCATAAGGAACACAAAAGGTCAATTCTCTCAAAACTTTAGAGTGAAACTTCAGAATTTTCAACATAAAGCATTTATGCAAATTACAATGCTTAATATATCCCTAAAAATAAGCATCTTAAAACAGTTTAGCAAGATTGCTATCACAAAATTTATTATCTGTGCTGAAGTTCTCTTAGGATTCTTAATATAACTTGTTAACAAGTAGCAATGCATGGCTTAAAAGAAAAAAATTTTATATTTTTCATTGTAAATATTTCCTGAGAAATAGAAATGAAAAACATCTTAATAGGGTTAGCAACACCCCCTTTTTGTATCCACACTGTCAGGAGAAGGACCCAGCCTCACCTGGAATGTTTTCAAGTAGCTTTTGCTGTGCTCTCTGTTTTGTCTGCTGACTTTGTTGTTCACTTCTGATTGTGGTCGGTGGTGCCAACTTCCCATTTGGCCAAAAAGCATCACGGAAAACACTGATGTAGTAAACCAACATTTGCTCACTGAAAATCCAGTTCACTGTATCCCGGATTTGTCTTTTAAGAGAAAAATATTTTTTAAATGAAGATTTTTAGAATGTTACACTTTATTCTCAAAAGGCATTATCCATGGGTAGGTGAAGATACAGCTGGATCTAAATGTCTGAGGAAAAATCTACAAAGTACATTTTTAAACTCTGACTCTGAAAGTTTTTTTTATTTTGGTATACTGGACAACCATTTATTTCTGGAGCTCCTGTTTTCATTGGCACTAACTGCTCCAAATGGGCCACACAGTACTTTCCAATATGTAAAAACAAGAACTGAGAGACAGACAGTAGCTTGCAACTACCCTAACTGTACAGAGTATTTTAAAACACTGATTTCTGCAACTGAAATGAAAGGCCACATATAGCCTGGAGGCCGGCGCTGCGGCTCATTAGGCTAATCCTCCACTTGCGGCGCTGGCACACCGGGTTCTAGTCCCGGTCGGGGCGCCGGATTCTGTCTCGGTTGCCCCTCTTCCAGGCCAGCTCTCTGCTGTGGCCAGGGAGTGCAGTGGAGGATGGCCCAAGTGCTTGGGCCCTGCACCCCATGGGAGACCAGGAGAAGCACCAGGCTCCTGCCTTCGGATCAGCACGGTGTGCTGGCCGCAGCGGCCACTGGAGGGTGAACCAACGGCAAAGGAAGACCTTTCTCCCTGTCTCTCTCTCTCACTGCCCACTCTGCCTGTAAAAAAAAAAAAAAAAAAAAAAAAAAAAAAACACACACAACAACAACAACAACAACCTGGGAAACCTCCCTGAGCCCCTGAAGCTGTCTCTTAGTGTTGCTAGTGCAGGTGATGCAGCAGCAAACATGATGCAGAGGAAGCCTCTTGTGTACATGAGGTCAGGAAAACAGACGCCTCCCTTTGGACAGCCCACTGCAGGTCTCCATGGCGATGACAACCGGGCAGACACCTGACTTGCACTTCTGCATGAGCAGCTTTTATCTGGCTCCCCAAGTCTTCCCACAATGACTTTCATTAGTCACCGGTCAAATTCTAATCAATTACAGGTCTTCTACTGTCATGAGACAAGTAGACACAATTCAGTGATTCCAAGAGTGGCTGTGAGATGGAAGGGGGAAGTTTCTCTGTTGAAAAGGGGAAAAGAATCAATCCTCTTAGACTATTATTGCCAAGAAGACTTGAAACTTCAAACTTGGTTCAGGAGTAGTAACAAATTAAAAAGCTCTTTAAGAATTTAACTTTCCAACCCGATTTTAAACGGGATGATTTAAGGTTTCAGAATAGTATGTTATATAGGTATTTCAAGTCTAGTACCTTGCACACAGTAATCAGTCACTACTGCTGACTGAATATCTGAACTCCTCTATGAGTCAAGTTATAATGTTAATTCTGTTTGTAACTGCTTGTCTCCTAAGATACTTCCCACACTGTTTAGAACTCTACAATTCAGACCTAGATCAAATACAATTTTTTTTATGAATTTAAAGGGAACTTCTGCTTTAAGAAAGAACTTGCCTACCTGCCTGCCTACCATTCTAACAAAAATCTACATAATGCCTACATCATGCTTTCTTTCTGTACTTTTGTTTTGTGTTACCCAATGGCACTACATGAAAGAAATGTAGTAAGAAAATTTCAAGTTACAACTTAAAATTTGATAAATGACTCTTAACCAAAAGCTCATCACCTTGGTACTTTGTGTCCATTTATATCTGACTTTCTATTTAGCCAAAACCTGTGGGAAGCTTCTGAAGCAAGGTGAAAACTGTAGTCACTGCAATGCTCTGTACAGTTAGGGTAGTTGCAAGCTACTGTCTGTCTCTCAGTTCTTGTTTTTACATATTGGGAAGTACTGTGTGGCCCATTTGGAGCAGTTAGTGCCAATGAAAACGGGAGCTCTAGAAATAAATGATGGTCCAGTATACCAAAGTAAAAAACAACTCTCAGAGCCAGAGTTTAAAAATGTACTTTGTAGATTTTTCCTCAGACATTTAGATCTGGCTGTATCTGTGCTGTGCTACTGCTTAGCTTTATGATGTGTCATCATCTGCTACAGGCAAAAATAGCAAAGGCCCAGGTGCTCCATAGTTCGCTACCTGATAAAATCCCACTGAAATGAATAGCCTGGAAATTCTGTGCACAACACCTCTTCTCCATGCCCATGAAAATAACTGCCAAACATATTTACCACTCACAAAACTCAGCTGCTCTCTTTGTAATAAAGAGCCAATATCATAAATAGGAGCAAGGAAAGTATATGTGCTTTGCTGCAATTGAGAAGGAAATTAAATTACCAAGTCTTGAATACTAGAAAAATAAGGCCATGTTAGAAATTTCTTTATCTAAGGTCTGTAAATACTACAGCGGTTCGCCTAGATCAAAACCGTAAGTTACACATTCCATTTCTCTGATAAAAACAAAAGCATACAATACTAACTCAAATAAGCATCTGATGGGGAATACAACTATTTCTTTAAAACCTTAGAAATAAAATAGAAGTAAGCTTCTTTATGACAAGAAAATATATTCTATTTGCAAAGCAATAACTAAGAGTAACAAATGCTCTTTACAATGTCTCCTATAAAAATTTATAAGCTTTGTCTGATAGAACCCTCATCACTCTTATTACATGTTTGACAGCTAAATCTTTCATTTGGAAAAATATCTGATAATTTTATCATAAAACTTATTTTGCCACACACACGATGTTTTCTCCATTATTTCTAGAAGTTGACTTACATGCCTATTCTTCAGGAAGTCATAATGTTTATCTCTGGAAGAATTCTGGGTACAGAGTTACTATTTAAAGACTGATAATAGCACTTCCAAGTTCCAGGCACAGAGACAACAAAAGACACAGCAGAAGGAAGCAGGTACTAGGCCAAGAGGCCAGGCTGGGTCTGCTGAGCAGTCTGCTGACCTCAGGGCACTGGCTGTCTTTGCTTGTCTCCTCACCAACAATATGAGGAGTTAGACTCATCTCTGAGGCTCCCTTCAGGCCTGAACTCAGCTACATAACTTGATTTGACTTTTACTGACTACCTGATTTTGCACTTATGAAAAATTCAAATAATTTCTCATCAATTAATATTAATTAAATTAACTGCAACTTCTTAATAATAGACCCAGGGCTTTCATAAATGATCCAATTGTGGTTCAGTTTTTATGAACCTAGAACATTCTGTGAAAGATGTATATGTACATATAATACTTTTATATATAGGTACCATAATATAGTTTAGTATATTCATATGGCTTATATAGTATTACATGATACACATCCCCAATAGATACTCAAATATTAACAAGAAGAATTAACATTTTAATGCTACTCCAACTCTAAAAAAGTTAACATATGGTTTATGTTTCCCTGTAAGTAAACACCTAGCATATAATCTCATCCTACTTTTTTTGGTTTAGAGTCTAAACTTTACCCTGATTCCTAGCATCTGAGATAAAAACACTATATGCAAGATACTCAAACCAGTTATGGTCGGGGGGAACTTTATGGAATACCATTTCAGCTCTCATCAGCCAAAATGTTGGAGCCAGCTCATGCTTCTATCATCTAACTCACTGGGCGGCCTGTGGAAAAAATTCTTTCAGTAATCTACTCCCCTAGACAATCTTAGAAACAAATCAGAAATAAAAAGTACAGGTAAATAAAATACTTCAGTTAAATCATTGGCCACAATACCAGACAATCTTTTGATTAAAGCAAAAAGTAAGCCATTGAAGCATCAATTTCATACAACTCACTTGTTGATGGTTCTTCCAAAAGTGACCTGAACAAGAGCAATTAATGTTCTTCTCACCCATTTAAACACTAAAATATAAATCAGAGGAAAACTTTTATCACAGGATAGCACAATTATGAAATTTCCATAGCTGTTCAAAGCATAATTCTTACCATTTAACTCAATCGGTGTCCTAACATCAAGACAAGGCTATGATACCAACAGACTTTGAGTCTAGGCCCACAAACTTCTAAAGCTACAGTTTTTTTCTTTGTTTTTTTTTTTTTTTTTTTTTTTTAATTTATTTATTTGCAAGGCAGAATGACAGAAAGAAGGAGAGGTAGAGAGAAAGAGGAGGTCTTCCATCTGCTGGTTCACTCCCCCAAATGGCTGTAATGGCTAGTGATGGTCTAGGCCAAAGGCAGGAGCCCAGAACTCCATGCAGGTCTCCCCACGTGGGTGGCAGGAACCATGTATTTGGGCCACCTTCTTCTTCTTTTTTTTAATTAAGATGTTGCTAAGGAAAGGCTTAGGCAACATTCATATGCCTGTTTCTTTCTTTTTTTTTTAAGTTTTTATTATTTTATTTGAAAGTTAGATTTACACAGAGAGAGAAGGAGAGGTGCAAAGAGAGAGAGAGAGAGGTTTTCCAAAGCTGGTTTTCCATCAATTGTTTGCAATGGCTGGAGCTGCACTGATCTGAGCAAGACAGCTCTCAAGTCTCCCAATAGTGCAGGCCAGGACTTGGGCCATTTTCTACTGCTTTCCCAGGCCATTGCAGAGAGCTGGATTGGAAGTGGAACAGCTAGGACTTGAACCAGTGCCCATATAGGATGCCGGTGCTGCAGGCGGTGGCTTTACTTGCTGTGCCACAGTGCCAGCCCCAGGCCATCTTCTTCTGCACTCTGATAGAGGATGCTAGCATCGTAAGCAACAGCCTAATCCACTTGTACCACAACACTCGTCCCTAGGTTAGCAAACTTCTGCTCAGGAAAAATCTAAAATTTCATTTTCTACTAAGCAAATGACAAGATGAAACCTAAGAGTTGGACAGCTTTTTAATGCCTAAACAACAGCTGAGCCAGCAAGTGGAAGTAATACTTTACTTTACATGTCCCTGGGCTACTGACAACACGTCTGTTTTTCACTAGCAGACAGTGTCGAATTGCTATTTTAGATCTCTGGCTGGCTTGCTGAACCTGACTTTCTAACACATTACTCTGAATGAGAAACATCTGTAGTCAAACGTTGACAAATGTTTTGAAATATTAATGGGTTGATGGGACTAACTGTTATTTGAACAGCAGTTTGTTGATCATCATGCATTTGTACAGATTTTGTTTTTGCGGAAAGAAAGTGAACTGCAAAGCTCCACAATCTTAAGCGAGGTGTGAATTCAGCAGTCTCCTGGCCCACCTCTGATGGCAGGTGGACAGGCGTCCCCTGGGACTCCCAGTTTTCTCATTTGTAAAAGGATGGTGTTAACATGTGCTTTCTTCCTCCCTTTTGTGTTTTTGTTTTTGTTTTTGATTTGAAGGTCTTTGTGTGTTAAAAAAAAAAAACACACACACACACTGCAGGAAACTACGTTGTGGCATAGAGGGTTAAGTCACCACCTGGCAACATCCCATATGAGTGCTGGTTCAAGTCCCAGATGCTCCACTTTCAATCCAATTCCCTGTTAATGCACCTGGGAAAGCAGTGGAAGATGGCTTGAGTACTTGGGCCCCTGCCACTCACCTGGGAGACCTGGATGAAGCTCCTGGCTCCTGGCCCAGACCCAGCCATTATGGGAGTGAAGCAACAGATGGGAGATTGCTTTCTTCCTTTCTCTCTCTAACTCTGCCTTTCAAATAAACAAACAAATCTTTTAAAACAGAAAGAAAAAAGCACTGCGACAAGCTCTACAGATCCAAACTTGGATGGAGACACATCTGATGAGTATGAAATCTGTGCATCAACCAAAAGAAGGCAAAGACGCACTGTGAGGATATTAGAGGTCAACAAACTGGTTTCATTTACATATTAAGCTCCACCCACTGAAATGCTTGGTACTGACACATGAGGAAAGAGAAATTCAGGAGCTGAGTTCAGGGCCTCTGCACCTAGTAAGGAAACCTCAAATGAGCAAATTTACAAACATCTCTGTACAAGGACAGCCACACAAAAAACATCAATAACCAACACAGACTTGGTACTAGGGTTTAAGACATTTCAAAGTCATTTCTAACTTTTTAAATGTATCTAAATGTCCAGTTAAAACAGTATTAATCCTTCAAGAAAAAAAAATCAAGTCTTAGGCTCAGTGTTGTGGCGCAGTGGGTTAAGCCACCACTTGCCACATCTGCATCCCATCTTGGAGTGCTGGTTGGAGTCCTACCTGCACCACTTCCAATCAAGCTTCCTGCTAATGCTCCTGAGAAGACAGCAGAGGATGGCTCAAGTAGTTGGGTCCCTGCCACTCAAGTGGGAGACCAGGATGGAGTCCCTGGCTCCTGGCTTCAGCCTGGCCCAGACGCTGTTGCTCATTTTAGGTTGGTATTTGGGCTGGGAAAAGCATGCGTGTCAGTGATGACACCTTCACTCTGCCTTTCCAGGGCTGAATGAGGTCTGAGGGCCAGTGCAACCATGGGAAGAATGCTTGACAGCTGTTTTTTGTTTTTTTTTGTTTTTTTTTTTTTTTTTTTTTTTTTTTTTTGACAGGCAGAGTGGATAGTGAGAGACAGAGAGAAAGGTCTTCCTTTTTGCCGTTGGTTCACCCTCCAATGGCCGCTGCAGCTGGCGCACCGCACTGATCCGATGGCAGACCGAGCTGCTCCGTGATTCTCCTCATGGGGTGCAGGGCCCAAGTACTGGCAAAAAGCACTTGGGCCATCCTCCACTGCACTCCCTGGGCCATAACAAAAAGTTGGCCTGGAAGAAGGGCAACCGGGACAAAATCCGGCACCCTGACCGGGACTAGAATCCGGTGTGCCGGCGCTGCTAGGCGGAGGATTAGCCTAGTGAGCCGCGGCGCGGGCCGCCGGTGGTTATTTTAAACATGGCTGTTTCTGGCATTTTTCTGCATACTAAACTACAGCAGGAACTAAAACTGAGCTACAGTTTCTCTCCCACCACTAACGTCTCCTTGCTCTGCTACTTTTCTCTACCCTTCCCCAGCCCCTAGCCCTCACGCTCTCACAAAATAGCCCCATTCTGTCGCTCCTTCCAAAGTCTCATGTGTTCAGAGTCACAGAGGCTACAACAGCAGTAGCAGGATTTTGCTGATGGCAAATCTATCACATCTCATTATAAAGAATGTTCTATTTACTCCCCTCTGAAATGTCACTAGCAAAACCAAATAGGCATGTGAGCAGGCCTGAGATGGAGGAAGTGCATGCTGCAAAGACAGGGTGTTGCTGAGGCCCACTCTAGCCGTGACTGGCTCTGACGCATCTACACATCTTTTAATCTCTTCACATCTGTGGCAAAGGGCATGCTGTCAAGGCTAGCACAGCGCTGCTTCATTCTTATCGCTCCAAGAGAAAACAGGAGGACCAGCAATTTGGTGAGGCCTATCTTACTGAGGAATTCAGACATTGGGTGAGTACTGTTTTTTTTTTTTGTCTATATTGAAATAACTGAAACATCAGTATATATCTTAAAGTATTAAAAGCATGGAAGGCTACAGCTTTTTCATCTGAAGGCTGAAACATTTGGGTGATACTCCATTATATGTGTATTTCTTAAATAATTTAACTATCCTCCATTTCTGAAGATTATCTTAATTTCATTACTTACCTTAGTTTTCATTATTTCATTATTGAAATTAGCTAAAATGAACAAATACCCTTATACATAAATTTCTACCTGCAGCTCAGAATTTGGTATTTTATAATTCTCTTAGGTTTGGCTTAAGGAAGGAAAAAGTTCCGTGACAAAACATGATTAATTTGACAGTTAACCTTTTGTCTATTGACTCACCTATGTGAGGCAGGCATTTTTCCAATCACCTACTATAGACTGAGTAGTACAGTAGACATGCTCAGGTTTACAATAGCACTGGAATTTTTTTCCTGAGCCAGTAATTCTTTGAGTGACATGAGAAGGAATGCAGAGCCCTACTTCCTATATAGAATCAACCCTTAGCCTGTCTATCTCCTTTGCCCCAAGGGAAAAGATGCTAAGCTGAATGCGGAGAGCCCAGGACATTCAGGGGACAACACTTTACAGGTCGGTGGCATTCATGTGCTTCACAAACCCTTGCCCTTCTCGTTTTCCTCATCCTGGAAGTTAGGTGTGCCTGCAGGCGTCTACCATATCTCTGCTTACTAGTGGGGCTCTGGGTAGGACCAAGGACACTAGTCTCATGAGGCAGAGTATGCAGGACTGTGAAGGTGTCCTGTTCAGGACTCAAGATTAGGCCACGTAGTCCGGTTCACCTTTCACCAAAGCAGGCATGTGTGCAGATCTTAATAAAATGAATTTTGACTTCCATTTTGCTGTTGTTTCTTCTAAGTGTATCACCTTCAGGAATCACCAGGGTCGGATTTCTCAACCCCAGCATCACTGTCATTTGGGCAGGCCAGCTCTGTTGTGTGAGCTGTCCTATGCACTATAGGGTGTTTATCAGCAGCTCTAACCTCTACCACTAGATGCCAGTAGTACTTACTCACCCCAAGCTCTGACAACCAAAATGCCTCCAGACTTCACCATACTGTAAAATCACCAGTCAGTAAAATGTTGCCTCATCAATGTCCTGGGCTTTGTCCACTCAGCTTAGTATCTTTTCCCTTGAGGCATGGGAGGCTGAGTTGGTCCTATATAGGAAATGTAGCTGTATGTTCATTCTTACATCACTTAGAGAGTTAGCAGAGGAGAACTGCAAGTGCTATTATCCCATGCCATGTGCAGCTCCTTTCTTCCACTGAGAACCACTGATCCAGAGGAAGAAAGGCAGTGGAAAACAGGGCTGGGACATTCCTGTATTCCTCGTCAATACCATCCTAGCACAAAACCCCACCTTCAACAACAGGGCTCTTCCTCTGCCCTGCAAAATAATTTTGGTATAATTTTTGGTGATCAGACAATGAAACTATGCTGAGTCATGCAGAACAAAATTCAAGGCATTCTACCTTTTGTATTCAGAGGAGCATGGTGCAGGGTGAGTCTGTCCTATGGGTATATCATCAATACCAAGCACAGTATCTGACTGGCCCTTAAGAGTATCTGGTGAATGAATGGATGTATCAACATGAATACATGTCTCTGTATTTCAGGAATAAAGGGACATATTCTGTGTGTGTACTAATTAACCAGCAAATACCCTGAATAATGACAAAGAGGCTTACTTCCTCGAAGTTCAAAAATCTCCCCAATCAACATGAAACATGGTTCAGCCAAGGAGTCTTTCTTCCCATCCATATCATCACCATAGTCTGATAGGTCACTGTCCTCCTCCGTCTCCTCCTGGGGGCACAGCAGTCACAGGGAACAGATCACTTATGAAAGACAATCGTGGAGTTGTTCTCGCTTTTTAGTGTAAATTCCAAAACTATTTGCTCACATTTCAGCCTTACCTAATCCTTCACCTCTCATGCAGAAATCCAGTCATTTTTAACATGGAGGACAGAATGCTCTAACAACAAGGAAGAGCTTGATTCTAAGGCATTATTCAGGATTTAAAATAAGCTCATTTAAATAAAACTTGTCACTGTATCAATAATCAGAAAATCAGTAGCTAATAAGTTTTCTAAAAACTGTAGATTTTGTTTTAAAACTTACATGATTGTAGGTTCATTGTTGGTTTAAAACATGTGCATTTTAGAGTACCAAGTTATTTTGAAAAGCTCTCATTCAAGCTGTTATTGTGTGCTTCATCTGGTCTCATTTCCTGATGCACATATCGGCAAGTTTTGGACCAAAACTCATTATATAGCAGTCTCCAGGCAAGTGCAAATGAGTGAGGGGGATCCACTTTGGGCGGCCCACAGCTATCTGGGGAGGCTGACAGATACTCCAGCAGCTGGGTCTACAGAGCAGGAGGAAGTGCTGTCACAGAGGGACAGACATTCAGCAGGGGAGGGACAGCTGTGGAAGTTCACCCTAATGCCTGCAGGGCAGTCAAAGCAGATGTGGTGGGACTGGGCCGAGGGCAGAGGGCAGAGGGCAGAGGCAGGAACTGGGAGACATCAAGTGAGCAGAGGAAGCACTGAGATTTACAGAGGCAGGAGGAGTTCCCCATGAACTTGGCCTGGTGTGAACCTTGACCTCCTATCACCTGCCTTATCTTTTATTAGAGCACTACAAAAATCCTCCCCAGCAGTCCAATGACTGGCTGCCACTACATGGACACATCCCTCTCTCCTGAACATTTCATGCCAGTCCAGCTCCTCCACAGTGGCAGCCCTCATGCTGGCTCCCCACTCACAGGGACTGGCCCCCCGACCTTGTGTACAGGGGCTGCTACAGAACTTCCCAGCCACATTTTTTTGATTCATTTTATATTTTTATTTATTTTTAGCATTTTTAAAAAATTTATTTAAGGTATACGAATTTCATGTATTTCATATATATAGATCCAGGAACACAGTGATACTTCCCACCCTACTCTCCCTCCTACCCATGCTCCCACCCTTCCCCCTCCTCCCTCTCCTATTCCCATTCTTACTTTTTACAAATATCTATTTTCAGTTAACTTTATACTCATAAGATTAACTCTACACTAAGTAAAGAGTTCAAAGAATAGTATGAAGAAAAAAAAAAAAAACCTGTTCCTCAACAGTCATGATAAGGGCTGTAAACAAGCATCAGAACTTGAGTCTCTTTCACTTATTCTTTCTGTATCATCTCTTCCCAGCAGGTGTCCCAAAATATGACAGTGAAAATAACTGAAAATGGACACATTTGTTTCCCCCATTAGTAGTATGCTTCCATCAAATAGCTGTAACTTCACCTAGCCTTTAAGAAGACATTTGCTAAGACATATGCAATCAAAATGGCACGACCTTTAGATGGCTCACCTCCTGGTGGGAGAAGAAGTCACGAGGAAGTCTTTCTAAAAATGAGGATAATGAAAAGCTGGGTTTTTTCCCCTGCACATCGATAACCTTGAGGTAGTCAGGAGAAGGGCTCAAAAAGGCATAAAGTGCTTCGCTCTGACACAGTCTTTCATCTGAAAGTATATTCTGTGGAAGAAAGAGGTTCATTACTCCTACAGCAAGCTGTGCTACTGGGAGCTGGCAAACAAGGTGGAACTGACTGTGTCATGCATTTATTTTCATCATTATTCTGAACCTAAACTCGCTTCTCTTTTCCTTGTATGTAGGTGAATTCTCAGTGATCTCCACACAACCAGTTAACGTAACGCTCCAGGTTAAGTGGTAGTGCCCTCCTCACTGCGCATGGGGGACACCGTGCAGACAGCAGAACTCGCTCCACTCTGCACTATCTGCTTATGGCTCACAGGTCTCCCGAGCCACTGCTCTTGAGGCACAACATACCTGTCATTTATCTGTGTTTGAATAACTTAATTTTTGGGGCAAATTACACATGAAAACCACTACACTACTTTTTTTATCGCTACGTCCAGACTCCATATATCAACTCAAACAAAGACCTTCTGGGTTATCACACGGTGGCACTGTCTGCCAGGTAATAGCTTCATGTTACACCCTTCCAAACAGTGCTCTACTGGCCTTAAGCTGGAAAATTTCCCAAGTTCTGTATGTACTTATCTGGCCTCAGGAACAGGAAAAGCAGACCATAAATCAATTTGTTTATACATTAAGCAAGTGCTACAGTATGACAGTAAAATTAACAATGTGACCACAAGAATGCCTGGGCGTCAGTATAAGACATAGGGTGCAGGAATAAACAAACCAACGGGAACTGTCATCCATTGACGATGTATCCCCCTTTGGGGAAATGAACACTGGGAAGCTGACTATGCTTCTGAGGACAGAAACTGGAGTGGTAGGGGAGGTTAGGCTCCAAGCTCAAGGGAGTTGGTCCATGACGTTCACATCCTGTTTTTTCAGATGGCAAATGACCTGACAACCCCAAAGGCCTTCCCTAAGTATCTTGGAGGGGCCCAGTATCTCCAGACTGCAGATAAGGGGCCCAAGGCACACCATCATCATGCAGTGGTAGTCACCTCCATGGATCCTGCAGAGGACTGCTCTGAACATGGGAAGCTCCGGCTTCAGCCTTGGGAAAGGGGATGATGGGAGGCAGCAGCAAGTGCCATGTGTCATTTATAAACATTTCAGAAAAACAAACTCAATGGAATCCTTTTTTCTGGAAGATCCTGTGAACCTAACAATATCTGCCTTTCAGATGAGTCATTCTGCATCTTGCTTTTCCTGTCAGTGGTGTGTGGGATACCTGAAATTACAGCCTGCTATACAGCCTACCTAAATGTGCTGATCACAAATAAAGTCTTTAAGGAAATGAGAAATAATGGAAACTTTTATTTCCTGACTCAAAATCCTTTTAATTAAATGGTAAGTGACCACTTGAGACTACTGCTGCATCTGGCTTAATTACAGATTATTCTTGCACTTAACTCCATCCAAACTACATACCAGCAGTGCACCAGTTGGCCCACTTCTCTAGGCACTGTTTCAGAACTCACCAAACCACTTCCACCCCAGCCAGCCAGTAAGAGCACTGACAATCCCTTCACCCTCCCTCACCCCTGCAATGTAGAGCAGTCCCAGCAACACACCAGGCAAAGCAGCTGAAGGGTTGGGAGGACCAAACAGAGGACCCCCTGCCCCCAACCCCCACAGCAGAGGCCAGGAGAAAACCCAAGCATCAGCTGAAGGAGTCCTGAGCTCCATATCCAAGGCTTAAAAGTCTTGCATTTTGAAATATACCTTTTTGTTTCACAAACATCATCTTTAACTCATCTGAATTATTTAACAGGGTTCAATGTTGGAGTGAATGTAACACCTGCTAGACATTCTGAGTCAGCAACAAAAATGGTAATATTCTAGTTTTAAATTCTCTCCTGTTAGGAGCACTAAAACATTAGTGGTTCTCTGCCCCAGTCCTGACATAATTAAGTTGAACAGCTTTTCCAATGATTTTATTTCCTGAGGAAAATTTACTTACTTACTCACAACACACACATACACACACACGATAAAATGAAATTAATACTTCCCAGGCAACTCTGGCTTAAATATATCTATTTTAGTTATGATATGCAAATCTGATTCAATCAGTATGTTTTAATATAGCCTCTAGTAAGCATCTGGCAACATCCAGAGCCCTTACATGCTGAGGGTGAGACTATAAAAATAGCTACAACCAATTTAAAACTGAAAAATCCTAATCCCTAGGAACTAGCCAACATATACCCACCAAACATCAACCACTAGAAGTTTACAGCAGTGCTTTTTGTAAGAGCCTTAAACTAGAAACTAGCCAAATATCCATCAACTATGGAATGATTAGAATGTAGTGGGGGCGGGGGCAGCGCTGTGACGCAGCAGGTTAAAACCCTGGCCTGCAGTGCCAGCATCCCATATGGGCACCGGTTCTAGTCCCAGCTGCTCCTTTTCTGATCCAGCTCTCTGCTGTGGCCTGGGAAAGCAGCAGAAGATGGCCCAAATCCTTGGGCCCCTGCACCTGCGTGGGAGACCCGGAAGAAGCTCCTGGCTCCTGGCTTTGGATCGGTACAGCTCCGGCTGTTGCAGCCAATTGGGGAGTGAACAAGTGGATGGAAGACCTCTCTCTGTCTCTACCTCTCTCTGTAACTCTTTCAAATAAATAAAGTAAATTTAAAAAAAAAATAGAATGTAGTAGGTTCACACAATGAAAAATCTATGCAGCACTGGGAATGAGTTGCTATGAAGCACTGGGACTTACAACTAAAGCTACACTATGGATGCCTCCCATATGCAGAACAATGAGTGGAAGAAGTCAGACACAAAGGAATCTTTATGATTCCATTTAGATGAAGTTCAAAAGCAATTTCAAGTAGTAAAAGTCGCTTGAAGTCAGGACAGTGGGTAGCTCTGGTGGAGGAGCAGTGATGGGAAGGCAGCACGAAGGGCACTGGTATCCACCAGTTTCTTGGACTGGGTGCTAGTTTCATGATGGTGTTCAGTTTGTGAAAATGGAGAGTTATTTACTTAGGGTACATGTATTTCTTGTAGGTAGACTATAATTTTTTTTAAAATACTAAAGATATTATGAGAATCTCACGACTTGTGAAAACAAAAAAGCAAACCAGCAAGTTTTCAGAATGACAGCTTACCCCAAATAACTGATTTTTCCTCTCATATCCAAAACTCTACTTGCTTACCTGTAAAAACTTATTTAGTTGATTCTTTGACTTTTCCATAAACTTGTGATCTATAGATTTGAAAGGCAGCTTGCTAAGAGAAGGCAACTGGACTTTTTTTAAAGAAGGGACACACTGTGGAGGGAAAAATTCAATGTTAATTTTGAAATTACATTTTAAATAAAAAAATCAAAGTTATAATTAGAACAAACCAAGTGTCTTCCTCCTACATTTGTTCCTCTGAGATTTAAGACCTTGAAAAGCTACCTGTTCTAGTTAGGCTCAAAGAACATAGAGGAATGGAACCTTTGATGAGAAAAGTTAAAGCTTATCCCCAGGCCTACAAATACCAAGAAGCTGGTAAGTTACGAAGTTAGGTTGATAAGATGGATTTGTACAACATGCATGGTAGCATATTATGCTAGGAACAGAAGCCCGCCTCACAGGAGAGGGAGTTAGGATTCAAAGCCAAGCAGACTGGCTGTCTAGGCTGTGCTTTCAGTGAGCACAGTGGGCCACATCCTTCAGTGTATGTGATGAATTCCCATACACTTCTACTCTCTTTCTCAAATTGCTGCAATTCATAATTAATTCACTTCATACTCATTAATGTGTCACACTGGCAGCTTCCCTACCACTGGCCCTAGATGATCGTTAGGTCTCTTCCACTTCTGGGGATTCTATTGCTCTTTACAATGGAAACCAGTTATTTATCTTGAAGGATTTAGACTAGATGGCTTGATCTGTGGGTAAATTTCCAAACATCAGGCTGAAAATGCTAAATTGACAGTGTCTACAGCAAAGGGGAAAGATGAATCAGTCTCCTTATATATAAAAATTGAAATGAGCTCTTGGATTTCTTTTTTGCACAGTAATTCTAGAATCTTGTGTTCATAGTATTCATACCTCACTAAGTTTCCGGTGTAAATTCTGAAACTCACTGAGCCTTCTTGGGACTGTCCAGTTCTTAGTTTCAACTCCTCCAACTTCTTGTAGACTTACCATGACAAAGTAACAAGGCATTTGCTCACCATTCTCTTCTGTAACCTTGAAAAAAATCAAAAACAGCCACAACAGAAAGCATGGTGAGTGGATATGGTAAGAAGATTTTTAAATGCCCCTGAGCTTTGCCCCTTGCTAGTGTACCATGGCTGGTGCCCTGCACAGCCCTTAGGACTGTGCCTATGCTAAGTTTTATTCTGACAATTAGGTTCTATCAGGAGGAACAGTAGACTCTAAAATATGATGATTATCTGGGTTGGTCTAACCTAACATGTGAGTCTGTTAAAAGCAGAGAGTTTTCCTGGTTAGTAACAGAAAAAGGAAGTCAGAAAGATGCAAAGCCCAAGAAGGAATCCAGCAAGAAAACAGACCTCAGTTCTACAATCACAAGGAACTACATTCTGTCAATAACCTGGATGAGGCTGGAAGTGGTTTTTCCCCAATGTCCAGACAAGAACTCCGTCTGGCCAACACCTTGACTTCAGCCTTGTGATACAGTGAGAGAGAGCCCAGTCATACTGTGCTCCACTTCTGACCTACAGAAGTGTGAGTGGATAAATGGGTGGTTTTAAGCCATGAAACTTGTTACACAGCAGAAGAAAACTAATATAGCAGACTTCACATCCTGACTGTATTGCCTTGAAGACACAAATTAGTAGCAAGCTAACAGGTATCAGACACATCAGAACTTTTCTCAGAAAAGATGGAGGGTTCCTTGTTTAATATTAGGATTCAACAACCCATTTTTTCAATTCTCAAGAAATTTCACATTGGGATATACAATTTCCTTCACCTCCCAACTTAGACATTTCATGCATACACACATTCTCTATCTCTTCCCCACATACCTCATCATAGTTCAGCATAGGTCACTAGTAAACAGAAAATTAAAAAAAAAAAAAAACCAGAAAATTGAATTTGAACTTGAATTATGGTCATACACGAAAGAGAACGAATTCAGTAAGAAAGGCAAAGGGAAGAGACAGCAATTTACTGAGCACACTGCTAAGCCCTGTGTGGGTAAGACTACGGCCCCAGGGCTGGCGCTGTGGCTCAATAGGCTAATCCTCCACCTTGCGTCGCAGGCACACGGGGTTCTAGTCCCGGTCGGGGAGCCAGATTCTGTCCCAGTTGCCCCTCTTCCAGGCCAGCTCTGGAGTGCAGTGGAGGATGGCCCAAGTGTTGGGCCCTGCACCCCATGGGAGACCAGGAGAAGCACCTGGCTCCTGCCTTCGGATCAGTGCGGTGCAGCGACCGCAGCGCGCCGGCTGGCAGCCATTGGAGGGTGAACCAACAGCAAAAAGGAAGACCTTTCTCTCTGTCTCTCTCTCTCACTGTCCACTCTGCCTGTCAAAATAAATAAATTAATTAATTAAAACAAAAAAAAGACTACTGCCCCACTGGAAGGATGTGGGGAGCAGAGAGAGGCACACCAGGGTAAAGACCATCCTAGGATCACACATCTAGCAAGTGGGTCTCAAAACTCATGAGTCAGGCTGGCTGTAAAAGCATCTTTTAAACATTCCTCCATGGGAGTGCTTTGTGAGCTCTGGCAGTCAGCTGACTACACAGTTTCTGTTTCCATTATCTTTCATGTGAGCAAGAAACCACAACAAACTCCTGTAATACCTGATTACCAGGGCAAAGTGATTTGATGAGGATTTCCACTCCTTCCCTCCATCCCTCAATGCTTGCCTGTGGAGGGTGCCCTAATATATTGTGAAATATCAGAGGCAGCTAGTGCTAAGCAAGACTGAGGCGGTAACATATTTTTGTGTTCTTTCTGTCCCACAGGCCTCCTCTATGACCTCTGGCATTAAATACCCCAGAACCATGCTAGACTCCACCCAAGCAGTAACAATATCTGCAACTATCAAGAGATTCAGTATGGTATCCCAAGGTTGTACACACCTTCCCTGACCCATTGTCCTCTACCTCCCTTAAAAAGGGTATATTGGTCTGTGGCTGAGCTTAATGGGAATGCCAAGTGCCATAAACATAGGGCAGGTACTTGGCTGTATGTTCTTTCAGGGTAGCTCTTAGAGAGCTTGCTTTGTTTTGCTATCTCTCCAGAAGTGAACTTGAGATTGTGCCAAGCCAAGGGACTGGTGTTGTAGTGTAGCAGGTACAGCCGCTCATGGGCCCAGGTTTGTGTCTCAGCTGCTCCACTTCTGATACAGCTCCCAGATAGTGGTCAGAGAAAAGCAGCATACAATAGCCCAAGTCCTTGGACCCCTGCTACCCACATGGGAGATCTGGATGAAGCTCCTGGCTCCTGGCTGTGGCCTGGCTCAGCCATGACAGTTACAGCCACTTGAGGAGTGAACCAGTGGATGGAAGACTTCTCTGTGTCTTCTCTCTATCTCTCTCTCTTTCTCTGACTCTCAAATATATAAATAAATATTTTTTAAAAGAAAAGATTATGCCAAGCCACCAAGTTCATGGGAAAAGCAGGAAGAACAAAGACAAACCATTTGAAACAATGACAGGGCAAACATTAACCCAATTTGGCTTAGGACCACTTGACTGGGTTTTCACTTGCCTGATAGTAGGGAAGGTGGGAAGGAAGAAGTTGTCAGTAGTGACATTATAAATGCCCATAAGTACTTTCCTTCCTAAATAAAATTATTTTTATAGGCCAATGGAAAGGAATACAGTATATTGTGCAAACTGTAATCCCATATTCCTCAAAGAATAGCAATGATTAAAAGGAAAAATATTGGAGCCAATGTTGTGGTGCAGTGGTTAAGTTGTCGCCTGCATTGCTGGCATCCCATGTGAGCACCAGTTCAAGTCCCAGCTGCTCCACTTACCATTCAGCTCCCTGCTAATGTACCTGGGAAATGCAGTGGAAGATGGCCTAACTGTTTGGGCCCCTGCCACCTACATGGTAGACCTAGATGGAGTTCCTGGCTCCTGATTTCAGCCTGACCCAGCCCGGGCAGTTGGGTCCATTTCGGGGAGTGAACCAGCAGATGGAAGATCTTTTTCTCTCTTGCTCTGTTTTTCCCTCTCTCTCTGTAACTCTGCCTTTCAAATAAATAAATAAATATTTCTAAAAATAAAAAAATAATAAAAGGAAAAATATTAGAGTGATCTTAGTGCTACTCGGATTTAAGCAACCAAAGTCTGCAGGATGGAACAAAGGGATGTGACTTTAAAATTTTTTTTTTCATTTATTTATTTGAAAGGCAGACAGAGAGGGAAAGAGAGAGAGAGAGAGAGAGATATCTTCTGTCTATTGGTGCACTCCCCAGATGTCCCCAACAGCTGGAGCGAGATGAGGCTGAAGCCAGAAGCCAGGAACTCTATCCAAGTTTCCCAGTGGGTGGCAGGAACTTAAGGCCTTGGGCCATGATTCACTACTTCCCAGACACAGCAGCAGGGAGCTGGATTCCAAGTGGAGTAGCCAGGACTCAAACTGGCACTCCTGTATGGTCATCCTAAATGGCAGCTAAACCCGCTGCACCACAAAGCCTATCTCTGGATTTTAATCTTTAATTTTTCATCTCTAAGTTTCAAAAAGTGCTTTCCATTTATTTCAACCCTCAGTGGGAATACAGGTTGGTAATTCAAGGACATTAAATGTTCCTGTACTCGAGTTGCTTACGATTTTATGGACCAAGGACAATTTTCTGTCTCGAGCTCAGTCTCAGGCTGGCACGGATCCCTGTCATGGGTGAATCAGAATAAACACACGGGGAAAGGGAAGGAGGACCAGTGTGGTCCAATATCAGCACGAAATTCTGTCCTACAAAGTCAAACTTTAAAAAAAATGCAGTCAAACCTACCTCTCCACTGGTGATGGAAGCTTTCCACAAGCCGAGGTTTTCACACCACCAGTCTGTTCTCGCCATGTGCAGCTGAAGGTCTGTGCGTTCTTTCTCTATGAGAATGATTTCATCCTTCAACTTGGAAACAATCTGCCACAGGGAAAACATTCTGGGGGTTATGAAAACACGTTTAAAACACTGCACAGTTGAGCGACTAAAGTAGCAGGACATAAATCAACACACACAAGTCAACTGTGCTTCTGTGTACTAACAAGGAACAATGCAAACAGGAGATTATGATGGTAAATTCTTTTACAATAGCATCAAAAAGTATAAAATGCTTAGGAATTATTTTAACCACAGAGGTGAAAAATTTCTCCAATGAAACCTACAAAACACTAATGGAAAATATTAAAGAAAAATATTTATTTGTAAAGACATGTCATGGATTGAAGACCCAAAACAATCTAAATTCAAGTCAATATCTATTAAAATCTCAATGAGATTTTTGCAGAAATTGAACAATCCATTCAAAAACAAAAATAGAACCTCCAGGAACCCCAAATAATCAAAGCAATCTTGAAAAAGAAGAACAAAGTCGGAGGAGTCACATTTCTTGACTTCAAAACTTACTACAAAGTTACAGTAATCAAAACAGCACGGCATTGATATAAAGATAAACACAAAGACCAATGGACCAGAATAGAAAGCTCAGAAATAAACTCCACATAAATGTCAAATGATTTTTTTTAAAAGGTGCCAAGACCACTCAGTGGGAAAAGGACAGTCTTTACAAGAAACATTGCTGGGAAAACTGGACATCCACATGTGAAAGAATGAAGCTGGACCCTTACCTAATACCATACACAGCAATTAACTCAAAATGGATCAATGACCTAAACAGAAGAGTTCAAAATTATAAAACTGTTAGAAAAAAATCATAAATGGAAAACTTCAGGACATAGATTTGGCTGTGATTTGTTTGCTGTGACATGAAAGGCACAGACAACAAAAGAAAAAATTGAAAAATTGGACTTTATCAAAATTAAAAATTTTCATGCATCAAAGAACACTATTACCCCATGTAAAAGTGCAAAACAGAGAATGGAAAATATTGGCAAACCATGTATCTGTCAGAGGTTTAGTATTCAAAATATACAGAAAATTTTTAAAAGTCAACAACAGCAAGAAAACAATTTAAAAATGAGCAAAGGACTTGTTTAAACATTTCTCCAAAGGAGATATAAAAATGACAAATAAGCACAGGAGAAGATCTTCAATATCACTAATCATTAGAGAAATGCAAATCAGCAAAACGAATCTATTAGAACGACTACTACTCAAAAAAAAAAAAAAAAAGGAAAGAAAACTAGTATTGGAAAGGTTATGGAATGCTGGAAACCCTGTGCACTGTCATGGGAATGTAAAATGGTACAGGTGCTGCAGAACAGTATGATGGTTTCTAAAAACACTAAAACAGGATTGCCATATAAACAATTCCACTTCTGGGCCTATACCCATAAGAACTGGAAGCAAGGTCTCCAAGAGAGATTGGTATGCACATGTTCTTAACAGCCGTAGTCACAGCAGCCAAAACATGGCAGCACTTTAAGTGTCTAGTGATGGATGAATGAACAAATGAACCAAAATGTAGTAAATACATGCTATATTAGTCAGCCATGAAAAGGAAGGAAATTCTGACCCATACCACAATGTGGATGAACCTAAAAGACATACACTAACTGAAACATGGCATTCACAACAGCACAACTACTATGTGATTCCACTCATCGATGTCCTTAAAGTAGGTAAAATCATAGACACAGAAAGTAGAAAGGTGGCCACCTGGGCTGGGAAAGCGTGAGATGGGGAGTTATCATTTAGAGAGTGCAAAGTTTCCAGTTTTCATGTTGAAAAAAGTTCTGGAGATGAATGGTAGTGATGTGCATGTACAATGTGCATGTACTTAATGCCACTGAACTGTACCTGGAAAAAATGGTCAAAATGCTAACTTTTGTTATCTCTAGTTTACCACGATCATTAAAAATTGCAGTGCCTGCCATCTCCTGTGGAATTATGTCACTGTGTAGTTTGAGGACAGAAGCATTGCCCCAAAACTCCTGAACATGCCGTCTCCAAGATCTCTCCATTCTCAGAAAGCCTGGAGGAAGCACTCCTTGTCCATACCACAGTCCTGCCTTTCGTCGTCAACAAGGGCCGTAACTGTTTTATTTTCATGGGAGTGTATTCTGATCTGTACCCAGCCTGTCTGCTTGGCTCTTCACAGTGACGAGCACAGCATCCCGTGTTTATTCATCACATGTATGTTATTGACATTCTTCCTGGTCAAAGACTAACCCCTCACATTAACCTAGAATTGAACAGCTCGCTCCAGACTCACAAAACCTCTGTAGAGAAAAAAATAAAACCTGAGAAATAAATTTCAGGAAACCAAACTAAAAGGTTAATTTTACATCAGGTAGCTGCTTATACTGCTGGTGCAGAGACCTGAAAGAGGACGGCTAAGCAAATCCCTGACTTTCTTTACTGAAGGGAAGAAATCCACGCCACTGTTATATGAATGGGTAGATGATCTGATTCATATCTGATCCTGAGAAGTCCTTCTATATTAAGATTGGTTTTGGTGCGTAAGTGAATTACTGATTGCTGAAAATTTTTTAACAACAATTAAATTAGCTTGAAAAATATTATTTACTAAATAGAATAATTATTCTTGTCAATATGAATGAAAGACACAAGAGGAAGCTGTTTCCTTCTGGAGGAAACCATCAACTCCTGTGCATCCATGGAGTCCTGTGCGTCTTGCACACGGGCACCAGAAGCAGACTGCCCCCTCCAGCAGCCTGTGGGCAACGTGATGCAACAGGAAATGCAGACATCTTTACCTCAACCAGAGATCAGTGTTCAACCCAGGTTATAATATCAGAATTATACCTCAGAATGTTTATTCCATGGTTAGTAGAAGTTCTTTTAAGAAAGGCTGAAGAATGTCTTTCAACCAATGAACCAAATCAATAATTTGATGACCATTCCTTAGCTCATCTTTCATACTGTTACCCATAAATACATTTTAATGTATAATGAGATGAATCCAGAATAAAAGATAATTGTTCATAAAGAACATGCCAGACTGCAGATACTGGTCATATACTATGCCAGCTAATTTTGTTTTCATCTCAAAGATATTTCTGTCACTGGGAAGAATACAGGACTTTGCAAGTTCTATACATTCTGAGAAGGACTCCATGGAAGGGGAGAATGACTGTGTTTCTTTTTTTTTCTTTTTTTTTTTTTGACAGGCAGAGAGGACAGTGAAAGAGAGAGAGAGAAAGGTCTTCCTTTTCCATTGGTTCACCCCCAATGGCCGCTGTGGCCGGTGTACCGCGCTGATCCGAAGCCAGGAGCCAGGTGCTTCTCCTGGTCTCCCATGCGGGTGCAGGGCCCAAGCACCTGGGCCATCCTCCACTGCACTCCCTGGGCACAGCAGAGAGCTGGCCTGGAAGAGGGGCAACCGGGACAAAATCCGGTGCACCAACCGGGACTAGAACCTGGGGTGCCAGCACTGCAGGCAGAGGATTAGCCCTATTGAGCTGTGGCGCCGGCCAATGACTGTGTTTCTTATGGCACCCAGGACACTTGGCTATTCGATTCCGTTTCAGAGGATCACTAGCAATTATTAAAGTGACCTTTACATTAACTCTCCTTTCCCCTCACAATACTTATAAAAAGATTACTACTAGCAAAGATGATACACCACTGCAGGACTTTCTGCTTCTTTGTAAAGAAAATTCACTGGATTAACTAGACAGCAGCTGGATTATGAATGGTTAAATATTGTACCTGTAGATTCTCAACAGGCTTATAATATGTTGTTCCTCACACTGTTTTTTCAAGAACATGCTCCCACTGCAAAAGTATCTGAATGCCCATGAAGAAGTACTACGGAAGGTTAAACAGGATTGGGCACATGTTTAAGGAAAGCCAATGTGATTTGCTGAAGCTGTTTTATTGTTTTATTCAAAGTTGTTTTCCCCTAGTCATGCTTGAAATCCTCAAACACACATTCAAAGAGTACCAAAGAGTGTCAGCCATACCTAGATTACAGAAATCTCTATGGAATCCAAAGAGGCATAAACACAAAGCAAAAAACCACATCACAGCTTGGGTTTGAGAGATGCCATTTTGGTGAGATGCTGTCTGTTTATGTATTTTAAGATTTATTTGATTTATTTGAAAAGTAGAGTGACACAGAGAGAGAGAGACAGAGAGAGAAAAGAGATTTTCCATCTACTGGTTCACTCCCTCAATGGCTGCAAAGGCCAGGGCTGGGCCAGGCAGAAGTCAGGAGCCTGGAACTCCATCCAGGTCTCCTATACAGGTGGCAGACCCAAGTACTGAGGCCACCCTTCTGCTGTTTTCTCAGGTACATTAGCAGGGAGCCGAAGCAGAAGCAGAGCAGCTGGGACTCGAACTTGTACTCCAATACAGGATGCAGGTATCGTAGGCAGTGGCTTAACCTGCTGTGCTACAAAGCTGGCCCATTTATATAACTTTTAGCTTTCATATTCTGCCACCTTTCAGCCCAACAACTTATTTTTTGCACAGTTCTGCAAGGTTCTCTAAATTGTACTTGTGGCAGTTGAGAGAAAAAAACAAATTTTTTCCCAAATATTGAACTCACTTGAAAAATTACTTTAGTACATAAGAAAGCTTACCCCCATTCCCCAAAGATACTGCAGGCAAGTCAGATACAAAGAACACAGAGTTAACCACAGCTGATGAATGAGAAAGAACTCAAATTCATAAAAGATAGAAAACAAATTTTTTTTCTAATTCTAGCCAAGCAGTCAAAAAAAAATAATGGAACTTGTTCACAGTTAAAATTCCTTTTAAAGAAAGTGACATTTTATACAATAAACTATTAATCATTAATTGTTAATAAATAATAAGTATTATTTATTATAAATAATAATAAATTAAGAATTAATTATTAATAAACTAACTATTAATTATAATTAGACCGATGGAAACTTTCAGAAACAACCTTTAAAGCAAAGAAGTTACCTTCTTGTCAGGTTTTGGTGCATTTTGAATAGAATTTAGAGCTTGCCTTTTGTATTCAAGTTTCTCATTTAGTTCTCGGAGTTTGTTTACAGCAAAACTGGCTTGTTCATTAATCCGACTGGTGCCTTCATCTGCAGCTTCCTCACCAGCCTCAACTCCTGGGCCCTGGGGGAAAATGTTATATACAACCAAATCTTACAAAGATAGAAAACTCAGTAGTTACTATCCAATATAAGTGTGCAGATTCTATATCATTATCGTATACTGTTCCAAAAAGGAAAGAATACCATAATAGAAAGTACTAGGTTCCAATAAGGAAAGAATACTATAACAGAAAGGACTAGGTTCCAATAAAGAAAGAATACTATAGCAGAAAGTACTAGGTTCCAATAGGGAAATAATACTATAGTAGAAAGCTTAGAAGCAGACGGCTTATCTCAGCAAAGAGAATAATCAAAGTATTTGTATCCAATGTAACTAGGGTTTAATATTTTAGTGAAAAAAAAAAAAGAATCATTCAATAAACCAAAGAAAGGAGGGAAAAATCCATTCCATTTTTTCCTAAATAATACACCCAAGGGACTCTCCATGGAAAAAGAGAGGCAACTGTATTATCCTCTCAACTCAGTCTGAAAATATTCTGCCCCTCATCTTTGACAAAGACAATGGTATCTGGCTTCTTTTCAGTCTCCTTAGATGAGGATGAAAAACATGTGCAAGTTCCTTTTAAAAACAAATCTTACAAATTTCCACTAATAAAATTATTTTCATCATACACTTTGCTCAGTCCTTCTCTTGAAGATTTATTTTACAAGTAAAATGGCATTTGGAAGGGACTTCAGACTCATAAAGAACCATGTAGCTTGGAACAATCTGGGCAGAGCACCAAGCAGCATACAAAACAGATTCGTGAGCGGCAACAACATGCAGGGCACTGCAAAGAACTGCCGAGAACCACCTTCTGTTTCCTCCTTCACTCTCTTCCAGGTTCAATATAAAATACTGAATCCCAGAAAACATACTGCTTTCGTTTTTGTATGTTCATTTCACTTGTTGTCTCTAATTATACATCAATCTTATGACAAAATTCTCTACCTTCTATTCATATTTGAGGGGGTATCTGTTTTATTTAATATAATGCTGTATATTTCTAGGTTTTCAGTCATCACAACATTATAGTTCCGATGACTGGATTGTATTCTGTTGTACTGGTCATTTATGAGGGCATATTCCCATTAATGCTCTTGCTATGGCTTGACTTTTCTTTTTTGCAATCCTAGATGTGCTAAAACAAACTCCATCATGCTTAAACTTACTTTTCCCTACATTTTCATTACTTCCTTACAGCAAATTTCCATAAGCTCAAACTCTCAGGGATTTTCAGAAGAAAGAGTAGGAGCTCTCAAAAGGTTAGTAAGCCATATTGGCCTTCTTTGACTCCTAGGTGATATTGTGGACATTTTTTTCACATTTGTACATTACTACTTTTTTTTTTTTTTTTTTTTTTGACAGGCAGAGTGGACAGTGAGAGAGAGAGACAGAGAGAAAGGTCTTCCTTTTTGCTGTTGGTTCACCTTCCAATGGCTGCTGTGGCCAGCACACCACGCTGATCCGAAGACAGGAGCCAAGTGCTTCTCTCGGTCTCCCATGGGGTGCAAGGCCCAAGCACTTGGGCCATCCTCCACTGCACTCCTGGACCACAGCAGAGAGCTGGCCTGGAAGAGGAGCAACTGGGACAGAATCCAGCGCCCCGACCGGGACTAGAACCTGGTGTGCCGGCACCGCAGGCAGAGGATTAGCCTAGTGAGCCGCGGTGCCAGCCTGTACATTATTACTTCTAACATTAACAGTTCAAGTTCTTACTCAATTTATCTATTGGAAATTTATGTTTTTTATTAATTTTAAAAGCCTACAACATTTGCTATAATATTAACCATTTTAATTTTTGAAGTTGAAAAATAACGAAGTAAACCATAACCTATCTTAAAAATAAAACACAATGGGGCCAACGTTGTGGCTCACTAGCTTAATCCTCTGCCTGCGGCGCTGGCATCCCGTATGGGCTCCGGGTTCTAGTCCTGGTTGCTCCTCTTCCAGTCCAGCTCTCTGCTGTGGCCCAGGAGGGCAGTGGAGGAGGGCCCAAGTGCTTGGGCCCCTGCATCCACATGGGAGACCAGGAAGAAGCACCTGGCTCCTGGTTTCAGATCGACGTAGCCCCAGCCGTAGCAGCCATTTGGGGGGTGAACCAACGGAAGGAAGACCTTTCTCTCTGTTTCTCTCTCTCACTGTCTAACTCTTATCTGTAAAATAAATAAAAAAATAAATTAAAAAAACCACAATGACTGACGAGCTTTATATAAAGAACTAAGTAATGAAACATTTTTCAAGGCCTAAATGAAGGTCATCCAATTTAACAATAAGTTAGAGACCTCAAGCTGACTTCTAATACCATCAGTATTAAGTACCTGATTCTTCAGAGCTGGAGATATAGTGACCCATGCAGATAGAAAGAAATTCAAGATAAATGACAATCATTCTACATAAGGTGACTATAAAACACTTTGCTTCCCTCACAAATTTTAAAGTAACTATAAATCATTATTAGTGAGTGAGATGGCACCTGGAGCTATTCAGAATAATAGACTATATTATGAGAAAGTCAGGCTTAGATATGACTTAGCAAGGTTTCTCTTGGCACTTTGCAATTTCATCTGATTTTTTTTAAAACTCCAGAATATTTCCCATTATTCCTTACACACTCCTGACACCTCCTCATATTTTCCTTCCTTATTCTGGGGTTGGACTATAGTTCTACTGATTGTCATAGCTGGTCTAAGATACAAATGGCCCACTACATAGATTTTTCTGTAGTCAAACCAGGAATATGTCTAAGGCAGACAGAAGGCAGGAAAAATCTTTTACTCAATGTGGGCAGGTGGCAACAAGTTGATCAAAAGGACAAAAAAGGGGGAAAATACAAAAGCCCAGAATCAATAAAGGTATAATTTAAGTTTACTGTTTATTCTACTTAAGTTCCTGCATATTAAAATATAAAGGTGTGCATCAGACTTGGCTCATACCATATATACCCACCCAATCATATTTAAATCTCATACATTCAAAAGGAAGCTGAAAGTAAATGCCACTTACCATTTCATCCTTGTTAGAAATCAGCTGTGAAACATGTTTTTCTTCTTCTTTTATCATCAATTTCTCATACAGGTCACTGACAATAAATGAAGGGTAATACCTATCCTTTAGGGTCTCATAAACATCTCCTTGGATTTTGTAGAACACCTCAATACCTTTGTTTCCCACAAGACACTGCTGGATTTCTTTGTAAAGTGATTTTTCCACAGCTATTTCTTTGCTTTCCACAAAGAAATTCTGATAAATTTCACCAACTAATTGTGGAATTTCATTCTGAAAGGACATGGAGATGAAGAAAGAGAAGGTTAAAGAATAACATCTCTGAAAGAAATGATCGTCTTCTGACTTCTCTGAAGACACTGAGGAAATACACAGGCTCTGGAGCCACTGTGGGGCTTGGGCTCATGTTTCCACTTTCAGAGCTGAGGGGTAAATCTGAGACTCCGAAACAAACCTACTGTTTACTTAAAGTGAACACTTTATGTTGAACAGTTAGTGTCTGCAATTTCTTTTAAACACTGGAGAAAAAAAAAAAAAAGCATGAGAGCAGTTCTATTCTAACAGATTGCTTTTCATAAATCCAAATACTACTAAAATTAATCCTTTTATCTAATATAAGTGATGGAAAGTGCCATTTCTTATCCCAGAAAGAAGTCACTATAATAACTGTGTAATTTTTAAAAACAAGAAAAATATTTCTCAGAGCAATCACACTGTAATCAGGTTATTTTGCACAGCTGTCTGAAACAGTGCACTTGGGTCATCAGCTATCCTTTGGAAACACAAACATGTCTGCTGATTACCATAATCTTTACATTTCCTCCAGTGGCACTTCACTAAATCTAAGAGTCTAGCAATAAAATTATTAAGACATACATTCTAATCAATATGATTAATTTAACAGACATCCCAAAACACTTTACATCCAAACCAGTGTTGCTAGGTCAAAATATGGCAGTTCTGGGGCTGGTGCTGTGGTGCAGCGGGTAAAGCAGCTGCCTGCAGTGCTGGCATCCCATTGAGCACCGGTTGAAGTCCCAGCTGCTCCACTTCCAATCCAGCTCTCTGCTATGGCCTCAGAAAGCAGTATAGGATGGCCCAAATCCTTGGGCCCCTGCACCCACGTGGGAGACCCAGAAGAAGCTCAACTCTGACCGTTGCAGACAACTGGGGAGTGAACCAGTGGATCCAAGACCTCCGTTTCTCTCTGCCTCTGTGTGTAACTCTGACTTTCAAATAAATAAATAAATCTTTTTAAAAAATGGCGATTTTGAGGAAGTTCCTATTCTGTTAAATTTTCTCAGATTGTCTTCATAGTTTAATACATTTCTCAAAATTCCATACATATATGGCATATTATATGTTATACAGTTATGTTGTTTACAGATATATGCATATATACATATATGTATAAACACTTTAATTTTTAAATATATATTGAGAATTTTCCCCATTCAAAGTAGAACGTTGGGTTTTTTAAGAGGCACCTGTAACCAAAAATGTTTATTTTCCTTTGGAGATTACTCCAAAATGCACATTATAATATTACAAATGCAAAGTTATGAGACTGATGTGTAAATGGCAAGGTCAAGTTCACTGTAATAGCAAATGTTGATATGTATGAGTATATGCCTTTTCACAGTGTGCTAAAAATTAGTTACCATTGTTGGTACATTTATAATTCTCTTTGTATCTTGACTACACATTCAAAGGCATCTTCTGTAAAAAATATAATTTTATTTGTCATTGTGGGCTAAAATATAATGCCAATATTGTACTTGGTTTCAAATAATCTTTTTAAATTTTATTACAGTTATTGAAACAGATACAATGCCTAACAAGCAAGCTTTCGTCAGCTAGTGATTCATACCCCTTTGAGCCTATATACGTTACCTTGTTAGCACTCTTTAAATGTTCTACAGCCTCCCAAAAACCAATCAGAGCTCTCTTGTCTATCCTTTCCATGTATAAGTGAAAGTTCTCTCGGTAAGAAGCATTGGCCAAGATGTCTTCAAATTGAAGAATCTGTTAAGAGAATTTAAGAAAAATAAAAATTTAAATGTCAGTTGCTCTAAATTCCAAAGGATTAATTTCATTGGGGGGGGGGTACATTTTTAAAGTGATAGCTAATGTGATATACAAGGGATTGTCAAAAAGCTCAAGAAAAATTTATGCTATGAAAACAAGCCAAGCATGGACTTCAATAATTTTTTGTCAAAAAATTAACTTAGCCTTTAATCCATTTTGCCATGAACTTTTTGAAAGACCCTCATAGTGGCCAGCGCCGTGGCTCACTGGGCTAATCCTCCGACTGCGGCGCTGGCACCCAGGGTTCTAGTCCCAGTTGGGGCGCCAGATTCTGTCCCAGTTGCTCCTCTTCCAGTCCAGCTCTCTGCTGTGGCCCGGGAAGGTAGTGGAGGATGGCCCAAGTGCTTGGGTCCCTGCACCTGCATGGGAAACCAGGAGGAAGCACCTGGCTCCTGGCTTTAGATTGCCGCAACACACCAGCCACAGTGTGCTGGCTGTAGCGGCCATTTCGGGGGTGAACCAACGGAAAAGGAAGACCTTTCTCTCTGTCTCTCTCTCACTAACTCTGCCTGTCCAAAAAAAAAAAAAAAAAAAAATACCCTCATAGTATCTCTGATAAATTGAAATGTTTCTTCGCTCACCTTCCTAAATTTTAAATGGACCAAAGCTTACTTAAATATTCAAAATGCATATATTTTAAAAATCAATTTTCTATTAATCATTTACTCATTCAGCAATGATTTACTTGGCATCTACCTGGTATCAAGTTCTAGGAAGTAAAATGTAAAACTCTGCCCTTCAGGATGTACATTCTAAACTAAAAGTAATAGGAACCATGGTTAGGAAAACAGAAAAGAAATGTATAAAAGACCAGGAAGTTGGAGTCTAATGGTTTGGCACTTTTTTGTTTTCTATCTTATTTTCATAGAGTTCAGGAATCTACAAGTGATTTTATATTGTGCCTTTTGGTTTACAATATCATATTCATTTAAAAAAATTTGTGGCATCATTTTGATTGGTCCATAATATTCCATTGTAGGACACACCAAAACCAACTCAATTACTCCTTTGTGAACTATTTTGCAGGCTCACAGAAAAATAAAAGCAATCTAAGGCCATAGCAGGAACAATCTTTGGTGTAGAAAACTGTAATATGAAAAAGAAGTTGACCTTCACAATAATTTGTGACTCAATTCATTAAGAGAAATGCCTCTAGCTTAAAAGGAATAAATGGCCTGTATCCTTAGTCTGAATCAGTAATAATAATAAAAAAAAAAACACATCTAAGGGCAATTAAAAATACATCTAAGTGTAATTAAATAAAAAACTTAAGAGATTCTTAAACTTAACATTATAATAGTTGGCAAATTTTCAGAAATGCTATCCATAAGCTATTTCTAAAATCAAGCGAAGGGGCCAGCGCAGCAGCCAAATAGGCTAATCCTCCGCCTGCGGCGCCAGCACCCCAGGTTCTAGTCTGGGTCGGGGTGCCGGTTCTGTCCCGGTTGCTCCTCTTCCAGTCCAGCTCTCTGCTGCGGCCTGGGAAGGCAGTGGAGGATGGCCCAGGTCCTTGGGCCCTGCACCGGCAAGGGAGACCAGGAGAGGCACCTGGCTCCTGGCTTCGGATCAGCGCGGTGAGCCGGCCGCAGTGGCCATTGAGGGGTGAACCAACAGAAAAAGGAAGACCTTTCTCTCTGTCTGTCTCTCTCTCACTGTCCTCTCTGCCTGTCAAAAAATAAATAAATAAAATAAAATAAAATCAAGCGTAGGGGCCAGCTTTTGGTATAGCAGGTAAAGTTGCTGCCTGGGACACTGTATCCAATAGGGCCCCAGTTTGTGTCCTGGCTGCTCCATTTCCGGTCCAGCTCTCTGCTAATGGCAAAGCAGCAGAAGATGGCCCAAATATCTGGGGCCCTGCCACCCACGTGGGAGACCCAGATGAAGCTTCCAGCTCCCAGCTTCGTTCTGACTCAGACCTGGCTGTTGCAGCCACCTGGAGAGTGAACCAGCCTATGGAAGATCTCTGTCTCTTCCTCTCTCTGTGTAATTCTGACTTTCCAATAATAAAAAAATCTTCAAAGCAAGTGAATTTATCTTGCAAATAAAGATTTAATTAAATAGATAAATAAATAAAATAAAAATGGATATAATCAATGTACACCAGCTCTTTTAGCCCTCAATCTGTTTTGTGAGCAGAAAAGGGAAGATATTTTCTTCCTTCCTTTTTTTTTTTTTTTAATTTACTCATTTATTCGAAAGTCAGAGTTAACACAGAAAGAGAATGAGGGGCAGAGAAGAGAGAAGAAGTCTTCCATCGCTGGTACACTGCCAGACTGGCTGCAATGGCTGGAGCTACACTGATCCAAAGCTAGGAGCCAGGAACTTCCTCCAGGTCTTTTTCATGGGGGTGCAGGGGCCCAAGAATTTGGGCCATCTTCTACTGCTTTCCAAGGCCACAGAAGAGAGCTAGATTGGAAGCAGAGCAGCCAGGACTCAAACCAGCACCCATATGGGATGTTGGCACTGCAGGCGGTAGCTTTACCCACTACACCACAGCACTGGCCCTGAAAATATTTTCTAACAACCTTTAATAATTGATTAAAGGAGTAAGCTATCCTTACTATAGACCATTAATGATTAGTTTCCATAAAGATTTCAGACCAATACTATTTAATTAATTAACTTTTTTTTCCCAAAGAAAATTTTTATTTAAGGAATATAAACTTCCTGCATTTCATAAGTACAACTTTAAGAATATAGTGCTTTTTCCCACCATACCCACTTTCCCATCCATTCCTAGTCCCATTCTCCACTAAGATCCATTTCCAATTAACTTTATACACAGAAGACCAACTCTATACTAAGTAAAGAGTTCAATAATTTGCACACACACACACACAAAACTTCCTCAACAGTAGAGACAAGGGCTGTTCAAAGTCATTGCATCTTGAAGTTAATTTCACTTTTTTTTTTTTTTAGAAACTTAATTAACTTTAAAGAAGCACCCAAGGATTATACATCTTTTGCGAGCACTTAGACATAACTAAAACTTATGAGACATAAGAATATTCTCCTCTTAATACACTAAAACAAAATAAATCTTTGAGAACAAGTTTTTTTCTTGAAAAAGAGATTTTATTTATTTGAAATACAGAGTTACAGAGAGAGGCAGAGCGAAGTGAGAGCGAGAAGTCTTCCATCCTAAGGTTCACTCCCCAGATGACTGCAACGGCCAGAGCTAAGCTGATCTGAAGCCAGGAGCCAGGAGCTTCTTCCAGGTCTCCCATGTGGGTGCAGGAGCCAAAGGACTTGGGCCATCTTCCACTGCTTTCCCAGGCCATCACAGAGAGCTGGATTAGAAGTAGAGTAGCCAGGACTTGAACCGGCGCCCATATGGGATGCCGGTGCTGGTGGCTGGGGCTTTAATCCACTGGGCCACAGTGCCGGCCCCAAGTTTTATTATTAACTTTCATAATACAATTTTTTGAGGATAGAGGTCCTGAAGAGGAAGTCAGTGCACAATGACGTTGTTAATTTTTTTAATGATTTTTTTTATTTGACAAGTAGAGTTACAGAGAGTGAGAGAGAGAAACAGAGAGAAAGGTCTTCCTTCCATTGGTTCACCCCCTAAATGGCCGCTACAGCCGGTGTGCTGCGCTGATCCAAAGCCAGGAGCCAGGTGTTTCTCCTGGTCTCCCATGCAGGTGCAGGGCCCAAGCACTTGTGCCATCCTCCACTGTCCTCCTGGGCCACAGCAGAGAGCTGGACTGGAAAAGGAGCAACTGGGACTAGAACCCTGTGCTTATATGGGATGCCGGCACCGCAGGCAGAGGATTAACCAAGTGAGCCACGGCACCGGCCCTCTTGTTAATTTAACAATTAACACTCTTATGTGTGACGTCAGTGATCACCCAAAGCTCTTAACATAAGCTGCAAAGGCTATGGAAGCCTTTTGAATCCACAAACTCCATCAGTCTTTAGACAAGGCCATAAGCAAAGTGGAAGTTCTCTCCTCCCTTCAGTTAAAAGTACCTCCCCCTTTGATGACCACTTCTTTCCACTGGGTTCTCACCCACTGAGGTCCTTCATGTGGGACTTTTTTTTTTTGCCAGAGTGTCTTGGCTTTCCACGCTTGAAATGCTCTCGTGGGCTTTTCAGCCAGACTAGAATGCCTTAAGAGCTGATTCTGACGTCAGAGTGCCACTTAAAGCAATTGTCATTCTATGAGTCTACTGTATGGACTGCTTCTGATGTTGGAGCATTCACTTTGTTTTAATTCTATCAATTATTATTCTTAGACATTTAATCCTATTTATATGATTACTTTAACACTTAATTTTATCCATATGATCACTTTAACACCTAAGATGGTATTTACACCACTCAGCTGAGGGGGATTTGGGGTCCCATGGCAAATTTTTAAACTGTACCCTTAAAGCGAGATACACAGCAGACTCATAGAATGGCAGATGTCCTAAACAGCACTCTGGCCTCAGAATCAGCCCTTAAGGCATGCGGATCCGGCTGAAAAGCCCATAAGAGTATTTCAGGCATGGAAAGCCAAGACACTCTCAAAAAAAAAAAAAAAAACCCTAAATGAAAGATTTCCGCGAGTGAGATCCCAGTGGAAAGAACAGGTCTTCAAAGAAGGAGGTACCTGTCTCTGAAGGGAGGAGAGAACTTCCACTTTGACCATGGCCTTGTCTAAATATGATCAGAGTCGGTGAACTCAGGGGGCTTCCATAGCCTTGGCAACTCATGACAAGAGCCTAGGGTGATTACTGATTCCCTAAACAAGTGTCAATTTGTTAAGTCAACAACAGGAGTCACTGTGCACTTACTCCTCATGTAGGATCTCTGTCCTTAATGTGCTGTACATTGTGATTTAATGCTATAACTAGTACTCAAACAGTATTTTTCACTTTGTGTTTCTATGTGGGTGCAAACTGTTGAAATCTTTACTTAATATATGCTAAACTGATCTTCTGTATATAAAG